GTTCACTGACGTTTCGGTTGCGGTCGCCTCGGCGGCCCCTCTCACCGAGACGGCTGGTGCGTTCCACCCGCAGCAGCGCTCGCGCAGCGGTGGCCGTGGTCGCCAGGGAGGTAAGGGTGGTGGCGCTAGTGGTGGTGACGGTAGTCCGCCTGCGGGGACTACCACTGGTGGGCAGGAGCAGCAGCCCCAGCCACAGCAGGAGCAGCCCCAGCCGCAGCCGCCGCCCCAGCAGCAGTCACCGTCCCAGCAGCAGTCGCCGCAGTAGTGGGCCCGTCTCCTGCTTGGTTGGCCCGGCACCTCCAAAGGTAGTGGCCGTGGTGGCGGCCTGCGCAGCTTAGCGTCTACCAGCGGCTCCGGTGCTGTCACCTGCCAGTACCAGCTTCAGACCGGGCCTCTTCGCGGCACTCTGTGCCGCCGCCCGCACCCGACCGCCCGCTGTTTCCACCGCCTCGACGATTACTTTCGTCGTCGCTTTGGCCCGGCCCCGGACCTCCCCGACTGGCACAGCCTGCTCTGCCAGGGCGTGCCGATCTTTGAATTGGACATGGATCAGATAGGTGCTGCTTTGCATGCTTTGCATTCTGACGCTTCTAGTTTTGCTGGATCTTATTACCCTGTGTACTCTAGTTTAGGTGTTGCACCACTGTGTAGCTTAGCCTCCCCTGCTGCGTCAGGCGTAGGACTGCCAAGGTTGCCTAGTCTAGTCGCTGCACCGGCTCCATCCCCGGCCTCCGCCACTGCGTCGCTGTCCTTCACTCTCGACTCCGGTGCTTCTGCCTGCTTCTTCCGCGACCGTTCCACGCTCACGCCGCTTGCTGCACCTGCTGTTGTCTCTCTCGCTGACCCCTCTGCGGGTCCTGTCGTCGCGCGCAGTTCTACGTCTCTTCCCTGTCCAGCAGTTCCCTCGGGCTCCCTTACTGGCCTCCACGTTCCCTCGGGCTCCCTTCCTGGTTGGTGTCGGCTGTCTCCAGGACCTCGGCGTCACCACCACGTTCCCCGGGCACGAGCGGTTCGCTGTCTGTTCTGAGGCTGTGTCAACTTCCCCCCTTGCGACGTTCCCCCGGGACCCGGTGTCTGGTCTGTTTACCCTCGACACCGCTTCCCCCCCGGTTGGTGCGTCCTCCCAGGTCGCTGCAGCTTGCACGTGTCGGTCCCTCACTCACCCGTCCCTTCTCTGGCACCACCGCTTAGGTCACCCTGCTCTCCCGCGTCTGCGTCACATGTCCCAGCACGGTCTTGTCTTAGGTCTCCCCGCGTCACTCCCTGCACTTCCTCCCTCGACTACGCCACCGTGCACGCCTTGCGTCGAGGGTCGGCTCCGCCGTGCTCCTCAGTCCTCCTCGCTGCGCCCTGCTACTACCCCCCTTCAGACCCTGCACTTGGACGTTTGGGACCCTGCCCCCGTCCCCGGACCGCGCGGTGAGCGCTACTTCCTTGTGCTCGTCGACGACTACACGCGCTACACCACGGTGTTTCCCCTGGAGCGGAAGGCCGACGTGCCCGACGTTCTTCTCCCGTGGGTTGTGGCTGCGCCTCTCCACCGCGGTCTCCCCGTGTTGTCTCTCCACTCCGACCGTGGCGGCGAGTTCGCCTCTGGTCGGCTTGGACAGTGCACGTGTGTCTCTTCAGCAGCTCTGCCTTCACGGAGGCCAGTGCGTCCCTGTCTGCTGTGGCAAAGACCAGGTCGTCGACGTAAACAAGGATGTAGAACGGAGTCTGGCCAGCACGAACGAAGAGTGAGGGGTCTGCGGAAGACGGAAAGAACTGCAGGTCAGCAAGCGTAGCACGGAGAGTGTCATGCCACTCACGGGGAGCCTGGAGCAGGCCGTAGACGGGGCGCCGCAGGAGCCACTGGGTCCCAGGAGGGAAGGTGCCAGTAAAGCCCTGAGGGCGATGCAAGTAGACCTGCTCGTGTAGGCTGCCCTGAAGAAAGGCAGTGGAGAAGTCGAGGGAGTGAAGCTCGTAGTCACGCTGAGCAGCTAGGTGTAACAGAACCCGAAGAGTAGTCATCTTCGGGGTCGGAGCGAAGGTCTGGAAGAAGTCCACCCCCTCACGCTGACTGAAGCCTCTAGCCACGTAGCGCGCCTTGAACACAGGCGGCTCTCCAGGAGGGCGCTTCACCTTGAAGAGCCAGCGGCCATCGACTACGTTCACCCCAGGCGGGGGAACTGCGTCGACGAATGTGCCGGTGGATCTCCAAGATGCCATCTCCTGCTCCATGGCAGCTATCCACTGAGAGGCCCAGGGTCCCGAAGTTGCCTCAGCGTAAGTGCGAGGGGTCGGAATGTCGAAAGCGTCTGGGTCACCCTCAGGGACTAGCAGCATGGAACAGAGATGGGGAGCAGCCTCGGACAGGAAAGCAAGCTCGAACTGGCGGTCCTCCAGAACGTCACTGCCAAGGGCAGGAGCACCCCCGACAGACGGAGGACAGGCAGGGTCAGAGACCAGAGCTGTGGCGTAGTCAAGGCGGCGGGTAGAGGCGAAGTCAGCGACCGCAGCGACAAGAGCGTCAAGACACGAGACCGGAACAGACGGGTCGGTAACGAGAGAGGCAAGGACCCGAGGAACAAGAGGACGAGCGGCACGAAGGTAGTCAGACAGCGCGGGGGGTGCAACAACAAGGGAGGACGGAGGAGGCGACGGGAGAAGGGGAGGACGAGACGCGTGGGAACGAAGCAACATAGGGTGGGAGCGCAAGACAGGCGAGGCAGGACGAGCACGGGAGGGACGGTGAGACCAGACATGCGACGGAGGAGTCGGGTCAGGAGACAGGGGAGGGGACACAGGAGGGGAACGAGGGGGGAGACGGGCCGGGGACGAGTCCGGCGGAGGGAACACAGGGCCGTAGACGGGAAGAGGAGGAGACAGTCGGAGAGGAACAGACGCAGGGTCGGGGGAGGGAAGGCCGAGCAGGCGAAGGGCTGACACCGGCGGGGACTGCTGCTGCGGCGGCACAACGGCGACACCTGGACCGCAATCTGCTCCTCGGCTACCACCGACACACTCCACACCAGCACCCCCAGAGGGACCACCCCCAGGGCGACCGGGACGAGCACCCCCAGAGTCAGCGAACGGGTGCTGGGACGGCGGCGGCGGCGGCGGCAGCGACAACGACGGCTGCAGTGGCGGCAGAGGTGGTGGAGGAGGGGGGGGGGGGGAGGGAGAACCGTACCAGTGAGGATGAAGGGGCCGGGGCAAGGATGAGCGCAGGGGCCGGGCCGGTGCAGCGGGGCCCGACAAACGCGACGGGGCCGGGCAGGGCGCAACGGGGCCGGGTGGGTGCGATGGGGCCGGGCCGGTGCAACTGGGCCGGGCAGGTGCGACGAGGCCGGGCGGGCGCGACGGGACCGGGCAGGTGCGACAGGGCCGGGCGAGGGCGACGGGGCCGGGCGGGTGCGACGGGGCCGGGCCGGTGCAACGGGGCCGGGCGGGTGCGACGGGGCCGGGCGGGCGCGACGGGACCGGGCAGGTGCGACAGGGCCGGGCGAGGGCGACGGGGCCGGGCGGGCGCGACGGGGCCGGGCGGGTGCGACGGCTCCGGGCCGGTGCGACGGGGCCGGGCGGGTGCGACGGGGCCTGCAGGCGTGACGGTGGCCCAGGAGGGGCACTACGGGGCCCAGAAGGGGCGCAACGGGGCCGGGCGGGTGCGACGGGACCGGGCGGGTGCGACGGGGCCGGGCGGGGTGCGACGGGGCCGGGCGTGTGCGACGGGGCCGGGCAGGTGCGACGGGGCCGGGCAGGGCGCGACGGGGCCTGAAGGCTTGACGGGGCCCAGGAGGGGCGCTACGGGGCCCAGGAGGGGCGTTACGGGGCCCAGGAGGGGCCCAGGAGGAGCGCGACGGGGCCCAGGAGGGGCGCTACGGGGCCCAGGAGGGGCACTACGGGACCCAGGAGGGGCCCAGGAGGGGCGCGACGGGGTCTAGGAGGGGCACTACGGGGCCCAGGAGGGGCCCAGGAGGGGCGCGACGGGGCCCAGGAGGGGCGCTACGGGGCCCAGGAGGGGCACTACGGGGCGAGGGGCGCAGCAAGGCCCGGGAGGGTCGCAACGGGGCTAGGAGGTCGCGACGGGGCTATGGGGTCGCGACGGGGCCCAGGGTGTCGCGACTGGGACTAGGGGGTCGCGACGGGACGAGGGGGTCGCAACGGGGCCCAGGAGGGGCGCGGCAGGGCTAGGGGCACGACGGGGCCCAGTGGGTCGCGACGGGGCTAGGGGGGAGGCACGGCGGGGCCTAGCTAGGGGACGAGCGGAAGCGGTAGGTGGGGGGATCCTAACCTACGCGTGATACCATATCAAACTGAGAGAAGTGAATCGATTAGGTAGAGGGAGAGTACAGATAGATATACCTAAGTATTGTACCCTCTGAGAGGTAACCCTATACAGTCTATGCAAACATAACAAATACACATGTTTGACAGTGCTACCCTGGTTTGCTTTAGTTTTGGTTGTATTCTTGCTGACTGGTCTCCAGACCCCTGCCTCAGTGGTTGGACTAGTAGTGCCGCCCTGAGATGTTTGCTTCTTGTTTAGTTTCACCCCTTGTCTAGCCTAGGGGGTGTGTCAACTTATACATATTAGCTATGTAGAAGTTATAGGCTAGACTGAGGTATGCTTCTAGTGAGTACAACCAACTAGTATTTGTTCTAGGTTTCCACCTCTAGTTATCATTCCTTCTCACGTTAACAACTTCCTCCTGCGTGAGCTGCAGCAGCGTCGCCAGGCCCGCGTAGTACACTTGGCCTCCGGTGCCAACACAGCTGATATCTTTACGAAGGCGCTTGCGCCTAAAGATCATCAGCGGCACTGTGTTCAGCTTGGTCTTGTTCCTGTAGCTTCTTATTTGCTTGGGCCTTGATTGTGTACAAACCTTTTCTATGTATATTACCCTGACTGGACTAGTAGTGCCGCCCTTGTCTTGCCTTGCCCGTATTCCTTTGAGTGGTCTTTAGACCCTTGCCTCAGAGGCTGGACTAGTACGGTAGTGCCGCCCTGAGCTGCTTCTTCTCTTGTTAAGCATTGCCCCTATATAGTCTAGGGGGTGTGTCAAATGTAACTTATGTAGTTACTGTAGACTATACTGGATTGTGCCTTCGAGGGTACAATCCCTAGTCTATAAACCCTGTATCCTTCTATTTTACTCAACTACTAATTATGATAGGACGGACCATGCATAGTCATATCCGAGTACCGATAGTTGCAATTGTGGTGTAGATAGGAACCATGTAACAGCTTCAGTTCATCAGGAACAGGAGATGGTAACGAGGTGACTTTTGAACCGATATGGTAACGAGGTGAATTTTGAGCCAACTAAAAAGTCACAGTTCGTCAGGAACAGGAGATGGTAACGGGGGCACAGCAGCAGCCCCCTCCATCTGGACTCCAGCCAGCACCCCTTCAGTGCCCTCCCCGTTCCACACCACCCCCTGCACCGCTCCCCTCCCTGTCAATGCCTCGTGAACTGATTGCACCTCTTGCGCTGCCAGCAGGCGCCTCCTTGCAATCGCCCGGGTGTGCATTTCCATGTCGGCCCCTGTGTGCGTGGCTGTGTGCATTGCTGTGCCAGCAGCACCAGCAGCACCAGCAGCACCAGCAGCACCAGCACCAGCACCAGCAGCACCAGCAGCACCTGTGTGTGCAGCAGCCCTGTCTGCAGCGCCCCTATCTGCTAGCCTTGAGGAGTCAAGAGCATCTCCTCTGAACAAACGACTGCCCCCCCCACCCCCACCCCCACCGCCACCACCACTACCACCACCAAGACCACCCGCTTCCATGCCTCCAGCCGTACCGGCCACACCCGAACCTCCACCGAACCTAACCCGGCCTGCACCGGCCCTATCTTCTCCCAACCCTGTCTTTTCAGCAGCAGCAGTGGCGGTTTTGGCCTGAGTTTGCCCTGCTGCACCGCCCCGAATGCTGTCGGAGACGAAGTGAGAGACTGTGTCCAGAGCCAGCCGTCGCTGCTGCTCCTCCCTCTGTGCTTTGTCCACTGCCTGTTGCAGCAGCTGTGCTCCACTGCTCCCCCCTCCCTTTCCACCAGCAGCAGCACCAGCACCAGCAGCAGCACCAGCACCAGCACCACCAGCAGCAGCAGCAACGGCACCACTCTCCTCTTCTGTATCTTCCACAGATTCATGCTCCTTCCCTGGCTGTTGCTTGCCATTCTGCTGTGCCTCCTCCTGCTGCTGCTGCTGCCGCTGCCGCCTCTCCTGCTGCTGCTGCTGCAGTTTCTGCTGTATCAACTGTGGCTGCAGCACCTGCTGCTGCTGCTGGCTGCGGCGTTTCCATTTCTCTTTTGCTGCGTCAAGAGTACGGTTGATGATTCCAGTGGCATATATGCTGCGAAGGATAAGCTGGAGGGGATAGGAAAGCAAAGAAAAGAGAAAAGGAAAGCAGATTGAGGCGCCCCATCTCAAGAGTATGGTTGATGATTCCAGTGGCATATATGCTGCGGAGAATCAGCTGGGGGGGATAGGAAACTGAAGGGAAGCGAAGCAAAAAGAAAACGAAAATGAGGCGTCTCAAATCAAGGGCGTGGGTGAAAATGCCAGTGGCGTATATGCTGTGAAGTATTAGCTGGAGCGAATACAAGAGTGAAGGGAGGCGCAAAGAAAAGCAGTTTGAGGCGTCTCAAAACAAGAACGGGGTAGGTGATTCCAGTGGTGTGTATGCTGCGAAGAATCTGCTGCGTCGGCGAGAAGGGAGGGGGGAAAGAGAGTGCATGGTAGGGAAAAGTGTGTGTGGTAGGGAGAGAGTGCATAAGGAAAAAGAAGAAACAAACGACTATCCAGGGCAGGTGCGAACCTGGGGTGTATGGATGCGGCCGAAAATCCCCTTCTTTAACAGCTTCTCTATCATGTCTCGGTCTGACCACAGAACATGGTCCTTATACCTAAGGTTAGAAAACAACCAAAAGAAAATAGAAGTTTTTTTTTCTTTTCTTTTTTTTTTCCAATGGGGATAGTTCATAAGTTTAGTGCATGAGCAACAGGAACAGGTGAGCGAGGAGAGGTGGAAGGGGCTTTGAGACTGCTACAAATAATCTCACATGCCTATAATTAATTAAAAACTATCACATGCCTACCATTGAAACATTTGCTCCTCTGTCTGTGTAGATGCAATGATGAAGGCCTGCAGGTGAGGAGAGAGAGAGAGAAGAGAAGGAAAGCCGGGGAAAGAGGGAGGGGAGGGAGAGGGAAGAAAAGGGACATGTGAGATTTGAACATTGGCTCCTCTGTCTGTGTGGATGCGATGATGAATGCCTGGAGGGGGGGAAGTGAGAGAGGAAGGGGGGAGAAAAGAGTGAAAAAGGGTAGAACGAGACTAGCTTATCCTGATAAAGTCCGGCATAACGACGTCCTGAGATGACTACTACAGTGACTTCTTCTAAGCCCACCCGAAAGCTGGAATATTAGAATTCTAAAAAACCAGGTGACTCCTGAGCCCACCCGAAACTCGCAGGCATTCATGAGACACTAAGAAGCACTTACAAGGTGGTCAAAATCGGGCATGAAGCACCTCCTCACGTCCCTCCGACTCGGGCTTGCGACTTAGGTGAGTTTTGCAATTGAAACATTCCCACTAAATCAGCCTGGCACCGAGACGTGACAGACGAGGTGACTTTTGAGTCGACTCAAAAGTCACTATTGAGTCAACTCAAAAGTCAAAAGGCACAATTGAGTCCACTCAAAAGTCACCTAAAACAGGCTGGCACAGAGACGTGACAAACGCAGCAGGGGGTTGAAGGCACACACAGCAGGCAGTCAAAGGCCGGCATGCAGCGCCTCCTCACGTCCCTCCAAATCGGGCGTGCCACTTCAGAGGCGACTCAAGCAGCACAGACTCTGTCACAGGTGCGTTCAACCACTGACAGACAGCCACTCACCAGGCGGTCGAAGTCCAGCATGAAGCACTTCTTCACGTCCTCCGAGTTGGGCTTGCGAGGCGACTGCTGAAGCGTGAACCACCCGATTACAGCGGGTTAAAAGAAAGCACACCAGTTACTGACTCAAAGCCACCCACCAGGCGGTCGAAGTCCAGCATGAAGCACTTCTTCACGTCCTCCGAGTTGGGCTTGCACCCGCAGCGGTCCCTCCGAGATGTGAGGTCTGAGAAGTGCGTGTAGGTGAAGTGCAGCACTGCTGCCTCCGTCAGCTTGATCTCCCTGTACAGTGGGTTGGGGGTGGGGGGGGGGGGGGGGAGAGGGGGGGTGTATATGGTGTGTCAACTACAGCATGAGATCAGAAAAGCAGAGAAGTGCGTGTGGGTGAAGTGAAGGACCGCTGCCCCCAGCAGCTTGATCTCCCTGCAAAGGTTGGTTGGGAGGGGCGCGGAAGGGGGGGCGGGGAGGATGGGAGGGGGGGGGGGGAGGGGAGAGGTAAATGGCGTTACAACTCAGACGTGAGAGGTCGGTGTTTTGCATGTAGGTGAAGTGCAGCACGGCGGCCTCCGTGAGCTAGCTTTCTCTGTAGAGTAACGTATGTAACATAGGTCACATATGTAAAATTCACATGGGTAAAATATGTAACATACGTAACATATGCAAGTTGCAACAGCAGAAGAAGCGCAACGAGTTGCACACAAGACGTGAGGCTCCATTACATTCACAATTACCAATAGTCACAGTCCCAACGACCGCCATCCTTGCCCCACTCTCAGTAATATCACTCACTTGGGCACTTTCATGTGGTTCTGCCACCTAATTGGGCCTCAGGTAGTGCTGCAACTCCACTCCTGTCTTGAGGCACCTTGAATTGCTGGCATGATGACACTTCCTATAGGCACACTCACTTGGGCACTTTCATGTAGTTGTGCCACCTGTGCGCCCCATTGGGCCTCAGGTGCGGCTGCATCTTCGCCCCTGACTTGCCGTTGCCGTAGGTGAGGAAGTAGTTGGGGTTGCCATGTGCCGCCTGTGTTTTATAGGGAAAAGGAGGAGCAAAAAAGAATGAGGGAGAGAGAGTTACGCATGGATCACCCCTGACTTGTTGTTGACGTGGGTGAGGAAGTAGTTGGGGTTGCCATGTGCTGCCTGTGTGTTGGGAGATCCAGAAGGGATAAGGAGTGGTAGTGAGGAGTGACAAGGAGTGAAAGCAGGTGCGGCTGCATCTTTGCCCCTGACTTGCCATCGCCGTAGGTTAGGAAGTAGCTGGGGCTGCCGTGTGCTGCCTGTGGTTGATAGGACAAAGGAGGACGGAGTGTGAATGATAAGTGAGAATTCGTCACATGTTCGGTAAGGGGAAAAGGAGAGGAAGGGAGGAGTGAGGGGGGGAGTGAGGACGAGTGAGGACAAGTGAGTGAGAGGGAGTGAGGGGGAGTGAGGAGGAGTGAGGAGGAGTGAGGAGGAGCGAGGAGTGAGGTGCAAAATAAAGAAATTAAAAAGTCATACAAGCATGCATGCATGTACTCACATCTCTGTAATGGGCGAAGTAGGCCTCTCTGGTTACATGGTCGTAATTCTTCTTGAACAGGGTAACCTGTTGTAACGGAAAGCGCAGCATATGGTTTGAAATACATATGTTAAATAACAGAATGGAAGGACGTTGCTTTCTTCAGAAGGCATATTGGGATCATGCAACTCAGGATGGTACGAAAATAGGATGGCAGCTGCACCTCAGTAAAGGAAAGGTAGATTGGGATAATACCTCAGTAAAGGAAAGGTAGATTGGGATAATACCTCAGTAAATGACAGGTAGATTGGGATAATACCTCAGTAAAGGACAGGTAGATTGGGATAATACCTCAGTAAAGGACAGGTAGATTGGGATATTACCTCAGTAAATGAGTCTCCCACATCAGGTGTTTCCACCACACTCTCCTGTATTCATTCACACACACACTCACACACACACACACACACACGCACGCACACACACACACACACACACACACACACGCACGCACGCACGCACACACACAGACAAACGCACAAACAAACGCACACACAAACGCACACACACACACACACACACGCACGCACACACGCACACACACAGACAAACGCACAGACAAACGCACACACACACACACACGCACGCACACACACACACACACACACACACACACACACACATGCACGCACACAAGTGCGGATGTGTGTGCACACATATGCATGCATAGTCACACGCACACACATGCAGGGGGGAAGAGAGTCAGACTTCCCTAACACCACACGTGAGAAGTCTATTTTTTAGGCGCCTCAAAGTCAGACTTCCTCACACCACAACTTATCTTGAGGCGCCTCAGAAATCGCCAGGCTTGCCTTACAGCACAACCACAAAATGGCATGGTGGCATGGTGGCATGGTGGCATGTTGGCATGTTAGCAAGGTGGCATAGTGGCTGACATAGCGGCATGAGAAACGAGCTCACGTAGTGAGAAAACACAATGAGGTCAACTTCACTGGGAAGGTTGTAGATGAGGCGTTGGAGGGGGGCTGGGTGTTACAAGCTGTACGGGCATCATCAGACAGACGGGCCAACGGGCCAACTGGCCAACTGGCCAGATGGTGACTCCCACAGTAGTGGCATGAGGGGAAGGCACTCACGTAGTCAGGAAACACGATGAGGTCCACATCGCCGGGCAGGTCGTGAATGAGGCATTGGAGGGAGAAGAGCTGGGCTTAGGCGCTGTGAGGCGGCACGATGGCATGAGAGAGAGACTACCCACGTAGTTCGGGAACACGATGAGGTCCACGTCGCTGGGCAGGTCGTGGATGAGGCGTTGGAGGGAGAAGAGCTGGGCTTAGGCGCTGTGAGGCGGCATGATGGCATGAGAGAGAGACTACCCACATAGTTCGGGAACACGATGAGGTCCACATTGCTGGGCAGGTCGTGGATGAGGCGTTGGAGGGAGAAGAGCTGGGCTTAGGCGCTGTGAGGCGGCACGATGGCATGAGAGAGAGACTACCCACATAGTTCGGGAACACGATGAGGTCCACATCGCTGGGCAGGTCGTGGATGAGGCGTTGGAGGGAGAAGAGCTGGGCTTAGGCGCTGTGAGGCGGCATGATGGCATGAGAGAGAGACTACCCACATAGTTCGGGAACACGATGAGGTCCACATTGCTGGGCAGGTCGTGGATGAGGCGTTGGAGGGAGAAGAGCTGGGCTTAGGCGCTGTGAGGCGGCACGATGGCATGAGAGAGAGACTACCCACATAGTTCGGGAACACGATGAGGTCCACATCGCTGGGCAGGTCGTGGATGAGGCGTTGGAGGGAGAAGAGCTGGGCTTAGGCGCTGTGAGGCGGCATGATGGCATGAGAGAGAGACTACCCACATAGTTCGGGAACACGATGAGGTCCACGTCGCTGGGCAGGTCGTGGATGAGGCGTTGGAGGGAGAAGAGCTGGGCTTAGGCGCTGTGAGGCGGCATGATGGCATGAGAGAGAGACTACCCACGTAGTTCGGGAACACGATGAGGTCCACATCGCTGGGCAAGTCGTGGATGAGGCGTTGGAGGGAGAAGTCAGCCATGCCAGCTGGGTAGTGGGGGGAGGAGATGGTGGTATGGTGGCGTGGTGGCATGAGGGGGCACTCACGTAGTTAGGGAACACGATGAGGTCCACATCACTGGGCAGGTCGTGGATGAGGCGTTGGAGGGAGAAGTCGGCTGTGCCAGCCGGGTAGAGCAGCTCGTCCGTATCCACGTGGAAGATCCAATCCACTCCTAACACCTGATGGAAGGGTGGATAGTGGTATGGGCATGAGTGCCTTTGAGGCGCCTCAAAAGCACTCTCAGTATGGGCATGAGTGCCTGCAGTAAGAGAGAAACCATGCGTGCCTGGTAGAAGAAGCATCAGGTACCATATGCAACTCACCAATTTACCATCACACACGTTCACAAGTATGTAGGATGGTACCCCACCCAAGTACCCTGGCATCTCACCCTGGCGAAGACAATCGCCATCTCCATGTTGAGTGACTGGCGCACGAATAGCTCGTAGTTGCAGGGTTTGTAGAAGAAGAAGGCAAGCCACGTCTCGTTCCACACGCGGCTGGTGAGAGAAGGATAAGGGGGATGAATGCAAGTGGGGGAGAGAGGATAAGGGGGATGAATGCAAGTGGGGGAGAGAGGATAAGGGGGATGAATGCAAGTGGGGGAGAGAGGATAAGGGGGATGAATGCAAGTGGGGGAGAGAGGATAAGGGGGATGAATGCAAGTGGGGGAGAGAGGATAAGGGGGATGAATGCAAGTGGGGGAGAGAGGATAAGGGGGATGAATGCAAGTGGGGGAGAGAGGATAAGGGGGATGAATGCAAGTGGGGGAGAGAGGATAAGGGGGATGAATGCAAGTGGGGGAGAGAGGATAAGGGGGATGAATGCAAGTGGGGGAGAGAGGATAAGGGGGATGAATGCAAGTGGGGGAGAGAGGATAAGGGGGATGAATGCAAGTGGGGGAGAGAGGATAAGGGGGATGAATGCAAGTGGGGGAGAGAGGATAAGGGGGATGAATGCAAGTGGGGGAGAGAGGATAAGGGGGATGAATGCAAGTGGGGGAGAGAGGATAAGGGGGATGAATGCAAGTGGGGGAGAGAGGATAAGGGGGATGAATGCAAGTGGGGGAGAGAGGATAAGGGGGATGAATGCAAGTGGGGGAGAGAGGATAAGGGGGATGAATGCAAGTGGGGGAGAGAGGATAAGGGGGATGAATGCAAGTGGGGGAGAGAGGATAAGGGGGATGAATGCAAGTGGGGGAGAGGGGAGCTGAAGACGTTGACAGGTGGTTTTAGAGCTCATAAATGACAAAGGCGGGCAGGGGACGGGAGGCGCAGGGGACAGGAGGGGCAGGAATAGGAGCACTTACCTCTTGGCCTGCTGGTCTTCTAGCTCCTTGGTGCGCTGCACCACAGTCACGCCCTGGGGGAAGGGGGGGGGGAGGAGGAGAAGAGGAGGGAGGAGCGAGGAGATGAGAGATGCAAGAAGGGGATGTGAGCATGGCGAAGAAGGGCCTGCTGGTACGCGCGCTCCTTGGTGCGCTGCAGCACTGTCACGCCGGGGGGGAAGGGGGGGTTGGGGGGAGGAGAAGAGAAGGGGAGGAGCGAGGACAATGAGAGGTGCAAGAAGGGGATACAAGCATGGGGAAGTGATCCAGCCTGCTGGTCTTCGAGCTCCTTGGTGCGCTGCAGCACTGTCACGCCGGGGGGAAAGAGGAGGAAGGGGGGGAGGCGGGGGGAAGATGAAGAAATTAAGATGCGAAAATGACATGAGCACATATGGTACACCGTCCTTCATAAGTTGGCTGAAGTTTCAAACTGGCATTCCGAGAGAACTCTAAGACGAACACACAACAACCCCATACACACAGACGCATGCACACACGCACGCACACACACACATACCCACATCCACACTCACGCACACAACAACTCACCTCAATGGATTCAAATATCACCACGTTCTCAGGTGAGGCGGCCTTCCCCTCCACGAATAGTACGAAGTATTGCACGCCGATCACGCGATGGTGCTAATCCACGGCAGAATCTGCTGCGCGGTGCCTCGAATAAGACGGTTTTGCTGCATGATCTCACCTCCATGGATCCAAATATCGCCAAGTTTTCCGGCGAAGCAGCCTTCCCCTCCACAAATAGTACGAAGTATTGCACACCGATCGCGCGGTGGTGCATAATCCGCTTCTGAGGCGGCTCAAAACAGCGAATACCAAAATAGAATGTGGAGTGGAATATAAAGTAGAATATACCAAGTGCCTCCTCTCACCTCCGTGGACTCGAATATCGCCACGTTTTCAGCCGAGGCGGCCTTTCCCTCCACGAATGGGATGAAGTATTGAACGCCGATCGCGCGGTGGGTGGGTGGTGCATAATCCACGGCCTGACTTTTGAGTCGACTCAAAAGCAAAAGCATAATCCACGGCCTGACTTTTGAGTCTGACTCAAAAGCAAAAGCATAATCCACGGCCTGACTTTTGAGTCGACTCAAAAGCAAAGCATATTCCACGGCCTGACTTTTGAGTCGATTCAAAAGCAAAAGCATAATCCACGGCCTGACTTTTGAGTCGACTCAAAAGCAAAAGCATAATCCACGGCCTGACTTTTGAGTCTGACTCAAAAGCAAAAGCATAATCCACGGCCTGACAGAGTGATGGTTATGCTGCATGATCTCACCTCCATGGATTCAAATATCGCCACGTTTTCCGGCGAAGCGGCCTTCCCCTCCACGAATAGGATGAAGTATTGCACACCGATCGCGCGGTGGTACATAATCCACGGCAGAATCTGCTGCGCGCCGCCCGACGTGGTCGTAGTTATTAGTAGCTTCGGACTATCCTGCAGATTCCCCAGCACCTTAATCGACGGGTTCGGATACAACCCCGGTTTAAAGCTCTTCGCCGTGTTGCACGGGGCATCTGATGACGTCATCACGCTCTTGTCCTGTTTGCTAGAGTCCACCTGATGCCACCCAGGCAGCCGCGGCTGCCCGTCGTCTAACATATCGAAATCACCCTGCAAGTGGAGGATAAAAGCGAACGCGGCTAGGCCTAACGGTAATGCGGCTATTAGCATTATAACGCGGTTGTTATTACCGCGTGACGGGTCCTGCGAATTAGTAGACTGCTGGATAGAGGGAGAGGAGGAGGATGCTGACGTGGAACCCTGCGTTGGACCCGAGGCTCCGGGCCGCGTACGCGGTCCCATGGAAGCCATCATTGCTTTATCGAGTCAAACTGCGTACATATAGCGCGTGCTCTTATGGAAGCCTACTAGAGTACGAATTCTGTCGGTTCGACGAGAGATGATCTCAAGGCGGATGAAACTGGATTTAGGAACCATCAGGAAAATGCAGCTGAAATGGGATGTTGATCCGCAGAAATGGGATCCGGTACAAGCCAAATAACATTCCTTCTTGAGAAATTTCTAAATCATGTTCTAAAATGTGGAGGCAAATTTAGAGGCATTTGTAGAAAGCTATTGAGGTGATAAGGGGCGAGCAAGGCGTGCTAGAAGATGCTGATAAGGGATTTCAATCATGTTTCAGAATTGAAAACTTCTAGAAACAATGGAGCGTTTTATGATACATGCTGTTTCCATCCACATGGTCGACCTGTTTCACATTGATTTTTTGTTGTTCTCTCGTTGGTTCCTTCACACATTAACCCTTATTGCACTCGACCTACATGTGTTCTGTCCAGGTGTTTTTGCTCCAACCCAGAGCTCGCGATGGAATTTTCGCAAACATGCGTCGGTGTAGAATAGGGCCACATATTGGTTTAAAGGTACCCTGATTGCTCAGGGTCTCCCCTCCCCCCCCCCCCCCCCTCATGTTTACCCTGATTTTTCAGGCCTCCAAACAAAAATTCCGCTAAGTAATCAGGGCTACTTCAGAATTTCACGCTGATTTGGCGAAACTGGCAGATGTGCAGCACGGCATTCGAGGAGGGCAGGGAGGGGCGGAGAGGGGGGGGGAGGAGGAGGGAGGGAGGAGGGAGGGAGGATTCCTGCGGGAATCATGATAATGGCGAGGCAATCAATTTTTGCGGCGTCACTTTCAGGTTGCCCTGGCCAATCAACTTTTGTTGATCGATCCGATCGCATCGCTGAGCAAGATTGTAGGGGCGGGAGGAGGAAATCTCAGCCTCACAAAGCCCAAGGCACACATTGGGCCCTAAATTTGGCGGAAGTGCCAATAAGTCCTCACACATCGCGCACCACACGCTAGCCCTAAATTTGGGCGAAGGGCCAAACAACCCCCTCGCAAATTCTTGAACACACGCTAACCCTAAATTTGGCGGCGGACAAAAAAGTCCCCTCACAAATCCCCCAGTACACGCTAGCCCTAAATTTGACGAAGGGCCAAGTGCAACCACCCAGCACACATCGAGCAGGGGCAATATGCGAATATTATAGCACGCTGTTACAGGATTCAGGGTAGCTGTCCGTTAGGCAGAGGCTACAGGGTCCACTACAATAGCAATGATGTACAAGCAGAGTTTGCCTAAAAAAAAACCCTGAGATTTTAGGGTTGTGTCTAAAGAAAATCCTAGCGCATCAGGATCGGTACCAAAAAAACCTATGAGAAAACCTTGAATCAGAGAAAAATGTCTGAAATATGGGGGCCTGGTGCAGAAATGCTTGTGGGTTGCGACTGCAACATCCACGCCGCTTACATAAATGTGTTTCATCGTGAGTTCATGCTTTCATTTTTTAATCAATAAACCTGCATATGCGACGACCAACTTCATTGTTGCTTATGATAGGCGTTTTTTTCCAGCTTGTGACATCCGTATAGGCGCATTTCTCGTTTGTGGCAGACTACTTTGTGGCAAACTTTGGTAAGCTTTTGTACGATCACGATTGTCCGAATGAAGATTTTGGATCATCGTGCACGTTGAAAAAGCAGCTGGAAAGCTTGCCACAAAGTGTGCCATAGGCGAGGAATGGACCCTAATTAGTACTAAATACATACTCTTTAGACGTACACTAAGGGTGTATCATAAACCTTTGTGTCTGGTTCAGCACCTTGTTCGACTACCATTTTTTACTATTATAATCATATAAACACGCCTAAAAGGGCACGCTCAATCCGCACACGTAAGGGCGTGTATAAAGTGAATAATGCGGTGCCACATTTTTATATCACCAGGCGACTCTGTTGGTTTCCTTACGTTTCAAATTGGTTCATAACCCAAAGAGTTCGGTATCATGACGTCACATCACTTGACGTCAGGTTTTGAATCACTTTATACGCGCCCTAAGGGCGTGTTACTAAGGGTGTGTCTTGCGCGTTTATTTTGGACGTCGAAGGGTTCAATGCATTTCAAATTCGTAATTTGTAACGACCATAATTTTGTACCACCAAGTGTCGATAGCTTTCCAAGATTGTAACGACAACCGAAACGCAAGAGACTTGGTTGTACGAAAGTCCACGCTGCAGCGATTTTCGTTGCCCAATCGAACTTTGTCGCACGGGGCTTGCGAAACCATGGTGATAATCGCAACATGTCGTGGCACTTGGATAACCCTGTCGATCCCCCCTCTTTCTATAGAGAGGGTACTCGGGAGGTTTTCATCGGGAAATGTGGAAATATGGAGCCTAACCCTCCATATGATATCCCTTCTTGTCCCAGTAGTTAGGACTGGTGGCTTTATGACATGGTATCAAAGCCATCCGAGGTTCAATTCCTGGTATACATACTATCCCAGCGGCGGGATGTGTCATGGCACTAAGATAACCCTGTCGATCCCCTCTCTCTCTCTCTAGGGAGGGTACTAGGGAGGCTTTCCTCGGGGAAGGTGGATATATGGAGCCTATCCCTCCTGATAACATCCCTTCTTGTCCCAGTGGTTAGGACTAGTGACTTTATGACACAACATGCCTATTACGTTACGGGGCACGTACGAGATGTGTACGTTTGGTGCAGCCGAGTCTGTGCGTGTCACCTGGGAGACAGCCAAATGATTATAATTGTTGGAATGTGCTACCGCACCTGGATATAGGCGCATATGTTCTTATAATGGAACCCTTGTGGAAATGACATACACTTATAATCAAATAAATTGTATAAGCCCATGCGCTTATGTTAAGGGAAAAATATGAAGGCATAAAATGTAGCTATTTCGATTTGTTTTCGGATGGAAGATCCTCCTTAGGGGTTCGTATTGTTAGATTCTATGGAATCGGCTCGCGACTCTTCTGCCAGAAAATCCTTGTTGGAATCAAGCCAATTAGAGTCAACTCTACTGGGCGGACTGCGGGAGGTACGGTTTCGCTATTTTTGTTTTTTTACAATGCAATGCGCTTATAATAAACGCATCCTAACAAAAGGTGCACTTATAATAAAATTAACAGATATAAGCGCGTTTGGAGTGCATAAATCCATGGGCTTAATAAAAGGCTGTGCTTATATCCGGGTGTATACGGTAATCCGAACCTAAACGAGTTGTAAACGAACGCGCGAGGCCCGCCTTAAAGTACTGCTCTATTCAACACTTAGTTACCACTTTTATGTGTGTAACCATAAAACACGCCCAAATGGGACATGCCCAGCTCACACCCGAAATTAATGAACACCAGCGCCCGTTTCTAGGTACCTCCGCACAACAAAAAAAGACTGCACAAAAAAATCCAATGCGCCAACCAATACCAACACCACTTCGAGCGAAATTCTCGCATGAATAATCGCAGCCTCGCACGTCGCTAACGAACAACCTGACCCCGCTGCGCCGGTTTGCCCTCTTTTTTGTTATACGTGCCTATTGCCCTAGTTTCGCATGGCGAGACCCCTGCACCCGTCTCTATGATCGTGTTCTGAAGTTTGGCCGAGTTGAAATTTGGCCGTCCGACTCGCCACGTCAGCGAAAGTTTGGCCAAAGTTTGAGGTTTTGGTTGGCAAAAGTTGTAGTAGGTGAACTTTGGCCAACCCCGATGCGAAAAACTTGGCGACCAGCCTTCGACATTTTGCGAACGGAACCTCCTCGCCCCAAATCAAATCGACAGGCGATCCGCAGAACGATATGCGACAGAACACAATCTGGGTCGCAGAGAACTGCGATACCTGACGTCCAGCTTTCGGGAAAGTTGTCTTGAAAAAAATTCACCAAATTTCCACCATAACAATATGTTAAAACCAGTAAGCCAATCAGGCAGGTAGGTTGGTTGGGTGGAAAGACGGGATTGCCTGTCAGGGAGCACATCTAGGGATCTCCCAACCAAATATACGAAACTCGAGGAAGTTAGCACGCGGGTTTTAAGGCCATCTCCTTCTGGTCGGGGTGTTGATGAAGGCTTTGGTGAAGAAGGGTGGAGCATTCGCAGTTAGACGGCTGTTCGTGCGCCGAGCAGGTTGGTGCTGCTTTTGTGGCTTGGTCGACGTCACATTTCTTTGGCGTGGCCAGCCAAGTATGTAGAAACCAGGTTTCGCCCTCGGTCGCAGTTGTTCCTGGACCCAAGTCGCACGAATTTTGGCCGGCAAGGTGCGGTAGGGGTTGGTTGGCCAAAGTTCGAATCGTCCCGCCAAACATTGCAATGTGCAATTCCGACGTGGCGAGTCAGGTGGCTAAACTTCAAAGTTCGGCCAAACTTCAAAACGCGGCCTATGTCTCTGCTGGTCTTTGTGCTGTCCTTCCGAACTGCACCCTTCATTTGGAACCTGTTCCCGAAGCTGGATCAGCTTCATATTGGGTACCGTCAACCGGCTCCGCGTGTCAAGAACGGGTATACGATTTTTTGGGACACGCCCTAAAAAGGGGGACCCAAGCACGCGTTTCGAGGTGCCGGTACAAGCGCACGAACAAAAGAAAGCGTCCCCAAACTCCAGGTCGCGGTTTAACTCCAGAGAGTACGACAAATGTAGACGAATATTTCCAACGACTCTAAATGTAGCACGTCGCCAGGCACAAACTCCCAAGCGAGCATATCCAACTCGCCATTGTTTCGCTAGGTGGGACTTCGTTACCCTCCAGTCTGGCTGACCCGCTATTGGGGCCTGTCCTCCGCAAGTGCGCCCTCGGAAACCCGTTATTTCCAGGTATGTTTGCGAAATAGTTGTACATTTCGCTCTGTAGGACGTCTCGCTTTGTCCACAATGGCTAAGGACGTGGAACATACAGTTCAGAAATTCTGAAAGTTCGGACGGCCAGAGTGGTTGAGTGCTTTGCAAAACGTTTTTTACGTATGAAAATTAGATAACCGCGTGGTACAGTGTGGTGGAAGTTCAGACGAAGGCTGTTCGGAACTGTATGTTCCACGACCCTCAACGATTTTCCAAGACATCATCAAGGCTGTTTGGCTAGCATCAGCCAGTAGAGAGCCCTCGCATTCAGCTAGTCGACGACCAAACGTCACCACAGCTCCTGGCTGTAGGAGACGATTCCCTTGCGCTAAACATGTCTTCAGAGAACTAGAAGCCGATGGTGCCTCTGGTCGAAGTACAATGATTTCGTTCGCTTCTTTCCGAGCTGTGCAGAACTGCGTGGTCGACGTCTGCCAAGCGTGCAACCTGGAAGGGTTAGTTTTTTTTCAGAATTCTCAAAAGCCTAACACAGTGTAGAATGATTTCGTTCGCGTCGTTGCAAGCTGTGCAGAACTGCGTTGTCGAAGTCTGCCAAGCGTGCAATCCGGAAGTCCTTCCGCTCTCCGACATCTCTTTCTTCCTCACTCGAGGCCCCGTTCTCATCGTTTCTTTCGTTTTGGAAGAGCTTAGCTCGGATTTAAGATCGTTCTTCGCCTCAAGACGTGGGCACGTTGAATAAGAAAGCAGTTCTTTCTGGGAATTGCATGTCCTATTGGTGCTGCTGACGAAGTCATGCGAAAGAGGCACATATATTCGTCTGTGTTTGCTTGAACAGAGGTATCCCTCAATTCTACTTCTCTAACTAATTCCCTAACCCATTCGCGTCAATCTCTCTCACACGACGCGCATAGAATTCAACAATTCCTGGCTGTTCCGTTCTATCATGCCTGCCGTTCTATCAAGCATTGTCTGGCTGGTGGTCTATGGCGCGGATTTCGGGGCTGGGCGTTGAGATGTGAAGGGTTGCTAGACCTGAGGGTTTATTCCATACGCTAGACCTGAAGTGCAATACTGTACCCTGAAAATATCCAATACAGTAAATGTTTTGCAGGTGAGGGGTACTGTATTCCCCAGGTTCGCTTCGTCTCTGGCACAGTATTGCTGCACTGTACTCGATCAGATTCCCCAAAGTCCCCCACAACGACGTGGCAATCTACACCGCAATATCTTTCCTGGGCAGCTTCGTCAAGGGCAACCTTTTTTCACACCTCGCTTCTGCTTTCGGTTCTCCCAATTTTGACGAGAAAAGGAGACTTTAAGCCAGACTTCCTCCTGTCATCTTCAATCAACCCCTTCCCGTCCCGGCCTTTTTGCATCCTCTTCCTTGTCGACATTTCGTCGTTTCCGCTGTAGCTTATCTTCCGGGCCTTTCTGATAGCCCACGGCAAACGTTTCCTCTACTCGCCAAGCGATCTTATCGTTTCTCTTCAAGAAAATGGCTAAGCACAGGGATAGGGACACCCCAACGAGGCACGTCCATCCGCCACGTGTCCTCAGCTCCGCCAATCACGACACGGACAACGAGTCGGGCGGCGCCGGCGCCGCCGCATCCGGCGGCAGCGGATTCGGGCGGCACAGGCCTCCGCGAGACGCGGGGGGAGAAAGAGTGCGGTTCAGATCGGTTCAGGGTGAAGGCGAGCGGGACAGAGAACGGGACAGAGAGAGAGACAGAGAGCGGGAGAAGGCCGGAGAAAGGGAGAAGGATCGAGATAGGGATAGGGAGCGAGAGCGGGAGAAGGGACACAAGGGTGGTAGGGCGGCGGACAAGGGGACGAGCGAGGGAGGAATAAGCGACAGCGAGAGGGGAGGGCGAGACGCGAGATGGGAGGAGAGAGGGGAGGAATCTCAGAGCCCGAGCATGGGGGATGGCGCCGCGATTGGCGGCGAGAAGGACGGGCATGCGGGCGGCTCGGGCGTTCCCAGCGCGGAGAGGTCGCGGCGGCTGGTCAGGCCGCGATTGGTCGGGCAGATTGGGCGAGATGGACGGTCGAGATTCAACAAGTCCAAGGATGCAGGCAACGGGTGCGAAAATCCTTTGCTCTGTAGATGCGTTTTGCGTTACAGCTGGAAGCACACACTAGCGACCGATGCAAGCCTAGGTGGCTTTTGAGTCGACGCAAAAGCCTTCTCACCAACAGCTCCGCTCTTCGTTCTTCTCTCTCCTCCGGCTACAGAGGAGTCATTTTTTAGAATTCTAAAAAATGCCCAACTTCCCTGACTTCCCACCCCCCTCCCCCCCCCGTCCCCCCGCCTCCCCCGCCCCCTTGCCCCCCAGCACAATGCAGGTCAACGAGCCTCCGCCACTCTTCCCATACCGGGAGGGGGAAGGTATGCCGGACCTGGCTAAGCTGCTCCGAGACAGTGACTGCCTCTTAGACTGCCCTCCTGTCTCCCACGAGCCACCTGCTGCGGTTGGCTCTGGTGCTGCTGGTGCTGAGGTTGCGAGTGGTGGGAAAGATGGGGTTGGGAGTGAAGGAGAGGGAGGAGGCGACAAGGAGGCGGCCAAAGGAGGGAAGGACGACCCTATGGACCATGACGCGCCTGCAGCTGCTGCCGCTGCTGGTGATGTTTCTGTTGCTGGTGCGGATGGGGGTGGCTCTGCTGCTGCTGGTCTTGCTCCTGCATCAGCAACAGCAGCAGCAGCAGCAGCAGGCTTGCCAGCAGCGTATCAGCAGCACCCAGCAGTGGAGCTCTCCGTGCCGCCCGAATCCGTCACCACTGCCAACCGCCAGGTGCAGTCGCGGCAGCTCTGGGGGACGGACATTTACACTGATGACTCAAATTGCTCCGCTTCTACATGGTCTTTAAGATTTTTACAAGCAAAGTTTGAGCCAAATCGCTGTTTCCCATTGCCGGGTGCGTTTTGAGTCGACTCAAAAGTTACAAGCGAAGTTTGAGCTAAATCGCTGTTTCCCATTGCCAGGTGCGGTCGCGGCAGCTGTGGGGCACGGACGTATACACAGACGACTCGGACATAGTGGCAGGTGTGCGCTTGTAAGCTTGAAAGTAGCATATTTTTTAGGCGTCTTGAAAATGCGTAGCCTTTTTGGTGTGTACATTGTTTACCCTGGAATTGTGCCAGTTTTAATGCAGTATCTTGCTACATTGCACTGTGTTAATAAGTCTTGCTCGCCCACTCCCCCACCCCTCCCCCACCCCTCCCCACCCCTCCCCACTCCCTTGACAGTGCTTATGCACGTGGGGTACATCACACCCGTGTCGGTGCCTCCTCCGGCGTCCATTGCCGAGCTCCGAGCCACCATCCGCGTGCTTCCGCCCCAGCCTTGTAAGTCCTCCCCTTCTCTATAACCCCCTTGTTCGCAATCCTGTCCCTGTCAGCCTCGGTATTGTGAGCCCTCTTGCATGTGAGGTACGTCGCACCCGTGTTGGTGCCTCCTCTGGCATCCATTGCAGAGCTCCGAGCCACCATCCGTATGTTACCCCCCCAGCCTTGAAAGTCCTCCCCTTCTCTATAACCCCTCCCCTGCCCTGGCCGCCACTTATGCTTGGAACGGCAGCAGTGCTAAACACGTCGTGACTTTTGAGTCGACTCAAAGGTCACCTTGGAACGGCAGCAGTGCTAAAAGGGTCGTGTGAGCAAGAAAGAGCGACAGTTAATTTCGCACCATTCGACCGTTTGCCGCCATATCTCGTGCTTTTGAGTCGACTCAAATTCTGAAATTCTGTCGAGTCCTTCAGATCTTGGCCTGCTGATAGACTAGCTTCTGTCCTTCATATGCCTGCCGTGCATCCATGTCTCCTCCCCCTCCCCTGCCAGTCTACCGCTCCTTGTCGCGCAACAGCATGAGGTCTAGGGCTTGGGGCTCTGGCAAGGGCGCATGCATCCCTTCTGTCCTCTCCTCTCACACTGATTATCTCTCATGCCTCTCTGTGTGTATGTGCGTCTGCCTGTTCCGCCTCCCACCTCCTACCCAGTCTACCGCTCTTCATCGCGCAACAGCATGAGGTCACGGGCATGGGGGTCAGGCAAGGGGGCATGCAGCTATGCAGTAGAAAGCTGCAAAATCATCAAGGTATGGCGTGCTGCAATGTGTTGTTCACAATGCATGCATTGCATTGCATTGCATTCAATCAGCAACTCGCCTCGCCCCCACCTACCTGCCTCCCGCAACTCGCCTCCCCTCCCCTCCCCTCCCCTCCCCTCCCCTCCCCTCCCCTCCCCTCCCCTCCCCTCCCCTCCCCTCCCCTCCCCTCACCCCCCCTTCCCCTCCCCTCCCCTCCCCTCCCCTCCCCTCCCCTCCCCTCCCCTCACCCCCCTTCCCCTCCCCTCCCCTCCCCTCCTACAGCAAGACGGCACCAGCATCGACCTGGAAGCTTCCTCGGCGCGCACGCCCCCTGTGGGCCCCACTCTCGTTCCTGCAGCTGTAGAGCGCACCATGACCACTCGCGCCTCCTCCTCTGTGCGGGTGAGTGCATATGTGTAACTGTTGTTCGTTGCATTGCATAACATCCTCCAGTCCAGAACGCATGCCCCCTGTGGGCCCCCCACTCGTTCCTGCAGCTGTCGAGCGCACCATGACCACCCTCGCCTCCTCCTCTGTCCGGGTACGTGTGTATGGGTGTGCATCTTATTTGTATGTCTTTATGCATCTCTAGATTTTGAAAAGGGCACCACATTTCACTTTCATCCGCATCCCCCCCGTTTCTTACTCTCCGCTCCATCCCTACCTCGCCCATCCGTGTGTAATGAGTCTGTTTTGATTCGACTAAAAAACAGACTCATTCCACCCCGTTTCTTACTCTCCGCTCCATCCCTCCCTCGCCCATCCATGTGTAATGAGTCTGTTTTGAGTCGACTCAAAAACAGACTCATTCCACCCCGTTTCTTACTCTCCGCTCCATCCCTCCCTCGCCCATCCATGTGTAATGAGTCTGTTTTGACTCAACTCAAAAACAGACTCATTCCACCCCGTTTCTTACTCTCCGCTCCATCCCTCCCTCGCCCATCTCCCACACCCTCACCCACACCCCCTCCCTTTTCCTCACACCCTCTCCCACCAATCAGAATGTACACAGGCACCAGCGCTTTGTGCATTTGACTCACAGGCCTCCCAACTTTTTTCTCCCTGGCCACATCCCTCCCACCAATCCCACCCTCTCCCACCAAACGTCCCCCCTCCCACCAAACACGCCCTCTCCCTTCTCCTCACACCCTCTCCCCCTTATCAGAATGCTCACAGACACCAGCGCTTTGTGCAAGAGGTCACTCTACAGTACAACCTCTGTAACGAGCCGTGGTGAGTCTACAGTAGGATATGCTCTATACAGTGCACAGTACAATTTCTGTAACGAGCCAGGGTGAGTCTACAGTAGGATGCGCTCTCCAGTGCATGGTAACCGGCACACATCCCATGCTGCTCTCTCTCTCCCGCCTCCCCCCACTCTTCCCCCCACACAGGCCTAACTTGACGGCTTTCGTTGCATATCACAACTGCCATGCTCCTCTCTTCCCCCCTCCCCTCTTTTTCGCAGGTTTTTTTTTTAGAACTCTCAAAAACACCCTGCAAAAACAAGATCACAACTCCCATGCTCCTCTCTCCCCCCTCGCCCCGTAATCCCTCCCCATTCCCATTCTGCAGGCGTAAGTACTCGCAGTTATTGCAGATCACAGATTGAAGCGGCCTCGATACACCTCTGTCCTCCAACCCCTATTTATGCTTTCTTTCTCACTCACCCCCCTTCCACCTCCCCTCCTCTCCCTCCCCCCACCTTCCCCCTCCCCCTTCCCTCTCCCCCTTACCCCTCCCCCTTCCCCCTCCAGGCTCAAATACTCGATGGCAATCATTGCAGACCACGGGCTGAAGCAGCCTCAATACACTTCTGCTCGGCTGAAGAGAGCCGAAGTGCTTTACCTCGAAACAGCCACTCAGCGGTATGTATATCGAAACCGTCTGATTCGATTATCAAACCAAGGGGCTGAAAACCAGCATGCATCAGCGCGATCCAAGTGGGCTGTGGTGCTTTACCTTGAAACAGCCACTCAGAGGTATGCATATTGGAAGCAAACAAAGATATATATATATATATATATATATATATATATTTATTTATTTATTTATTTGTTAATGTGGAGATTTTTTCCGGATACCACCTGTAACCCACACACACACATGCATGCACCCTCCCCGCTCCCCCTCTTGGTCCAGGTTTAAGTTGAGCTACGAGCCTGTATCTGCACGCAAGGTCTAGGGTTTATGGTTTAGGGTCTTTCACTCCGTAGGGTCTTTCACTCAGTTGCACTACCCAAGGCCAAGCAGCAGCAGGCACAACTCCACACTTCTAACCCACTTGCCCTCTTGCCCTCTTGCCCCCTTTCCCTCCCCCCTTGCCCAGGTTTGAGTTGAGCTACGAGCCTGCATCCGCTCGCAAGGCCTTTCACTCCGTAGCCCTACTAAAATCCCAGCAGCAGCAATCACGGCCACTCGCTCCTAACCCCCCACCCCCTACTCCTCCCCCCCCTCTCCCTCCTTGCCCAGGTTTGAGTTGAGCTACGAGCCTGTATCCGCTCGCAAGGTCTTTCACTCCGTCGCTCTTCTCAAGGCCCAGCAGCAGAACGCACAGCCACTCGCTCTGCCACTTGATGCTGCTGCTGGTGCTGCTGGTGATAAAGCTGCTGCCGCTGGTGCTGCTGGCGCTGCTGCTGGTGTTGGTGGTGCCGCAAGGGAGGGAGGTGTGGAAGACAGGATTGCTAAGGAGGGGCAGGGAGAGGGAGGGGGGAAGAGGAAGGATGAAGAGAAAGGGACAGTAGAAGAGGGAGAGGGAGATAAGGAGTCCGGTAAGGGAGGAGGAAAGGAAGGTGAGAAAGAGCAGATTTCACAGAAAGGAGCGGCAAAAGGAAAAGAAGGTGGAGTAGAGAAAGAAGCAGCAGCAAATGCAGAAGGTAAAGAGCATTCCGAACAACCAAAGGCGCATACAGGCAACACTGCAGCCGATGCTGCAAACGCCACCACTCCCAACACCAACAGCAACACCACAAATCCCTCGGCAGCAGCAGCAGCAGCAGGGGGAAATCTGACTGGATCAAAACGGAATTTCTCCCTCATCTCCTCTCCCCTGGTCAACACCAGCATCAGACCTGAAGCCAACCAGCGCATTCTAAGCCATTGGCACAGCAGGTCCAAGGGGCCGAGGGACACTTATCGGTGGACCCAGTGCGTTCCGCCTCTCCCCCTCGACCTGCTGCGCTCCCACGGCTGTCCTCTCCCTTCTGGCTTCACCAAGGTACCGTCTCCCTCCCTCCTCTCCCCCCTTTGCAATGCACTAGAACCTGTGTATGCAACGGGCATGAAAGGGCAAAGGGGACGGGGAGGGACACTTACCAATGGACCCAGTACGTTTCCCCCCTCCCGCTCGACCTGCTGCACTCCCACGGCTGCCCTCTCCCTGCTGCCTTCACCAAGTTACAGCCTTCCTGCTTCCGTTGATTTGTCACACAAAATCTCCCCCTTTCCAACCCGACCTGCTCTGCTCCCACGGCTGCCCCCTCCCTGCTTTCACCAAGGCACGGCCTTCCTACTTCCGCTGATTTTTTAGAATTCTCAAACCTATCACTTTTTGGGAATTCTAAAAAACCTATCACTTTTCGAGAGTTCTCAAAAACCTATCACGGCTGCCCTCTCCCTGCTTTCACCAAGGTACAGCCTTCCTACTTCCATTGATTTTTTCAGCTCCTGTAGCCTGTAGGATTTGTGAAACTTCCTTCTTGGTTCTGCTTCTCCCTTAAAAGCCTGTCATTTATTGCCTACCACCAGGAAAAACAGAGCATAGCGTGTACGCATTTAAACGTTCTTTTGTGTGTTTCCTTAATCCCTCAACCTTCCTTTCTAATTTGCCGTGATTCACATCCAATCTCATGGCAGAACTAGGAGTCTGGCCTGGCGTGGGACGAGGTGCAGTGGGCGCCGGGAGGCGTACCGGCATGTGGATCGCATACTCACTCACTCATGCTTCCTACATCTCTCCCAACTCCCTGCATTCTCCATTTTCCTTGCACTGCTCGCGCTTCTCAAACTTCAGATCCTGGAATCGGGCCTGTCGTGGGACGAGGTGCAGTGGGCGCCGGGGGGCGTGTGGGTGCGCGGGCTGCACTATCCCGTGGTCAGGGCCCACTTCATGCCTCGCAAATCCTTTTCTCGCTGAATGCTTCTCCACTCGCTCGATCTTTGAGGCGCCTCAGAAGGCGTGTGGGTGCGCGGGCTGCGCTATCCTGTGGTCAGGGCTCGTTTCCAGGGCCAGTGATTCAAGGGTATTTCATCCTGATTACCCTTTGCCAACGGCCACTTTTTGGAGTATACCCTGATTTTGTAAGGGTAAAAAAGTGTTATGGGGCCGAATTTGCTCCTGGCACCCTTACAAATCAGGGTGAAATCGTCATGCTACCCTGCTTGGTTTTGGGGCTCCCTTCTCTTTCTTAATTCCTTCACCCTTCCTGGTGCTCTGGCTGGGAGGGAGCTGCAGGAGCTGCAAACAGGGTAGAATTCTCAGCTGCTGGCCTAAAAGGATTGAGCTGGCGGTAATCGGTTACTACCGGTTCTTCAATCGTGATTGGCACTAAGCATGTGGTGTACAGTTTGAATTACACTACATAGTTCACAGCACAATCAGCCTGCTTCCAACCCCTTGAATCCAACCCTTTGACCCTCCAAGTGGGACCCAAAAGGAAATCTATAAAAATATTTAAGCCGCGAATTCACATCGAGTGTGAATGAGGCACAGTATAAATTACCACGTGTTCCAGAGTCATATTGGCATGACTCAAACGTCTCATCATGCCATTTGAGCCCTACAGTCCACACCTACATGACACTTAGTACTACAAAGAGCAGTCTCGTAATTCTATCTGACTAGTCACCTCGCTCACACGCCTATCCACACTTCCTCAGATTAATAGCTACAGTCAGTCTGCCTTCAAGAAACCCATCTGCTTCTTATATTCAACCTCCTCCTCCCAAGTTACGCAGTCCCGGCTCCAGTCACCCGTGTCACCTCGCCGGTCCACGCCCCGCTTGGTAATGCCAAACACTACAGCAACAGAAAAGGGAGGATGATCAGCACAGAGCCAAGAGCTCAAACCGCAAAATGGATTGCACAGTAAGGAGGATCTTCAGCTCACGAACACTGGGGGGCATGGGAAGGAACAGTTTGCGACACGTTAGAACTCACACAGACGGGTGGGCGAGTTCTCCCAATCCTTTCTGCCTCTCCCAGACTCATTCTCATGCCACTCCGCCCCATTCACACACCACCCCGGCCCACTAACCTTCTCTCAGGCTGCATGTGGTGTTGGAACTGCCAAAGAGAACATCTGGATCCATTTTCTGCTGCTTCTGCACTTGTGCATTCACATTTAACGACCTGAAGGTGTGCCGAAAGAATTGGGTTGGGGTGGGAGGGAGGAGTTGGGTTGGGGTGGGAAGGAGGAGTTGGCAAAGGAAGAGACGAAGAGAGCAACAGGGTCAAGAGAACAGGTTTGTGGCAGGAGACTAGCAATATCTCATCTCGACACTCAACTTTGTAGCACCATCAAGGGCACAACTCTTACCTGGCCCACGCAGGAATCGGTTTCTTCGCCCGTCGCTCCCTCTCCTCATCCTCATCCTCCTCATCCGAATCTATCCTATCCGGAGTCATCTGATAAGACCGTATCCCCTCCGCTTCAGCTGCTGCCGTGATAGTCCCAGCCCCGGGAGCTATCTTCCTCTTAGACCTCCTGGGAGTTACTGAAGGAGATAAGATCACATGGTCCAGGTTACCAGGTAACAACGCTCCTGATTGGCTGCCTGGAGCTGGTAACATGGGGCCAGAGGCAATGGCCGGCGAGCTGTGACTGTCTGGAGGGGTGCCTGTAACGGGAGGTGCTACAGTGATGCTACGGGAAGCTGGAGAACTTATTTCTGATGTGTGAGACACCCCAGCAGTGCGGAAGCGAGTGGAGGAGGAAGAAGGGGTTGAAATGAGCTTAGCAGCAATTTCCTTGGCTGCTTGCTTAACTGAACTGCGAGTAAAGCCAGTTTGGGAGTCAGCAGGCGCCCTGCCACCAGCAGCAGCAGCACCAGCAGCAGTCACCTTGGCGGTACTAGAGTTGGGTGCATTGGCAGCAGCACCACGTGCTTTGAAAGTGCTTCTAAGGACTCTCTCCTGGCTGGCACTTGCCTCCTGACCCTTCCGCTTCTGCTGCTGCTGCTGCTGCTGCTGCTGCTGCTGGCTCTGCTTCGGCTCCACCTGTGCCCTTGCTTGGCTGGACACAGGAATCCGGGATTTAAGTCCAGCCCCCACCGTTTTTGCAGCAGCAACAGCAGCCTTTGCTGACGCTGCTGCTGCTGCCGCAATTGCAGCTGCAGCAGTCTGTGTACCAGCTCCTCCTGCTCTTGCTCTACCGCCAAGCCCAGCAGACGTGCCACCAGCTGCCAACCCTCCATTCCCTTGCACGCCTGCCTTCCCTGCACCACCCGTCTCCTCTTTTGTCCACTCCTTAAGAGTAGCAACACCCGTTGATGCCTGAGGGGTTGCCGAGGGCCTAGGTAAGGAGGAACCTGCAGCAGCAGCAGAGGTAGTAGCACCAGCAGCAGCTGCAGAAGCAGCAGCAGCAGCAGCAGCAGGGGCAGCAGGTGCACCACCAGCTGCAGAAGCACGAGCAGAAGGAGCAGTAGCGGAGGAAGCAGAACCAGGATTGGTCAGCCCGGCAGTCAAAAGCGAGGAGGAGTTAGCGATGCTGCTACTGCTGCCACTGCCACCAGTCCCAGCGCGGATCCAACCGCCTTGGGCAACCACTACCTTGGGAGCAGCAAGCGATGGTGCTTGTGCTCTAGGCATCAAACCACCAGCACTAGCAGCAGAGTTAGCACCATCAGCAGCAGAGCTAGCAGCACCAGCAGGTGTGCCTGAGAGGAAAGAGGCAGTGCCTGGCTTGGGCATAGCAATGAACGTGCCACCGGTTAGACTCTTGGCAGCACCACCAGCGGCTAGGCTCTTCGCCCCTCCCCCATCCCGCCCATTACAATCCTCTGTGAGCCTTCCAGTGAGCGTCTCTGTCAGTCGCGACCGAAACACCATTCCCTCTGCTCCTCCTGCTCCTGCTGCCCCTGCTCCTGCTGCCCTCAACACGCCTCCTCCCAGTCCCACCAATCCAGCCCCTCCTCCTGACCCCAGTGTGGTTACCACATTGCTGTTACCACTGTTACCACCGCTACTGGTACCACACAGTGTGAATTTAGGAGGAGGAGGTCTCATAGCAGAACCCCCAGCCGCTCCCACTGCAGCTCCTACCGACATGGCGCCTGTGCCACCCGATCGCACATCGCTCCAACGCACGCCACCCTTCCCATCGTCCCAGCTGGAACTAAGCAGGCTGTTGCTACTGTTACTGTTGCCAAGGGTGCTGATCCCAGTACTCTGCAGCCCTGCAATCCCAGAGGTGAGACGAGAATTGCCAGCCATACTCCCACTGTTCACGCCACTGGGCCTGGCACTGTTCATGCTTGCTTTCCAGCCAGCCTGGTGATTCGACCGCAGATCACTGAGCCTCACATCCACGCTGCTACTGCCAGGCCCTTTCGATACAAGTCCACCCCCTACAAGAACACCCGAGAGCTTGGGTGGGCGGTTGCCTGGAACGAGGAAGGAGGTGAAGGAAGGGGCGGCGGATGAAGGGTTGGAGATGGAGGGGTGGTGGGAAGATGTGTGTGCGCTGCTAACAGGGCCTCCTGTTGATGCTCCTGCTGCTCCTGCTGCTGCTGGGTCATGCGTCACCTGCCGTTTTCAAAAACCAAGAGGAGAAAAACCTGAATGAGGTTCGGCAAACCCTAGGAAACTCAAAAGCACTGCCAAGGCAATGCTAAAGCAACTTAAAAAAAGCAGCACTTTTCCTGGTTTTGAGCAATGAGCTTACCCCATTTCTGGCCTCCTGCATTCTCCTCATCTCCATCTCCTTGTGCTCCTTCCTGTGCTGCAGAGCCATCTCCTCCTTCCGCCTCTTCTCCGCCTCTGCTGCCTCCTCCCGCCTCTTCCTCTCCGCTTCCTTCTCAGCCAGCTTCGCCGCCTTCTGCTGCTCCTCCTCCTTCCTCCTCTTCTCGGCCTCCCTCTCCCTCTCAGCCCGTTTCTGCCGCTTTGCCTCTTCCTCTGCTGCCTTCTTGGCCCTCTCTTCCTCCTCCTGACAAGTGTTAGATGAGCCATGAGCAGGAAAAGGAGAAAGGAACAAGGTGCATGGAACAAGAAAATACATGAATTGCATAGGCTGCAAGAAAGATGGTCGAGCACAAACCTAGATCCTGGGCAAGGGAGAGTGGGCTTACCTTGGCCTTCCGCAGCCGCTCTTTCTCCAGAAGCTCTTGCCTCGCTTTCTCCTCCATCTCCTTTTTGGCCTTCGCCGCCTCTTCCACTCGCCTCCTCTTCTCCCCTACCTTCGCCCTCTCCATCTCATCCCTCTCCCTCTTCTTCACCACCCGCTCCTCCTCCTTCCTCCTCCTCTCCTCCTCCCTCTCCCTTGCCTCTTCCAACTTCCTCGTCTTCTCCTCCTCCGCTTCCTTCCTTGCCTGCATCGCCTTCTGCACCTTCCCTTGCACGCCCTCACTCTCACTCACCCCCACCTCTACCTTCCGCCCCATTCTGCTCTTAACACCCGTTCCCCTCTCCTCCGCAGCACCAGAAGCAGCCACACTCACTCTACCAGAGCCCCTAGGAGTTGCAGGGGGGTGATCTGCAACCCCTCGCTCCAGCACCTTCCGCCCTGCCGCACCCCTTCCTGCCCCTGAAACGCCATCTTTCTCCTCCGCTTTCTCTTTTCCTCGCTCCTCTCGCCGTTTCTCCAGCGCGATTCGCCTCTGCCGCCTCTCCTCTGCCTTCTGCTCTGCTTCCAGCCTTGCTGCCTCAGCTGCTGCTAGCGCCTTCACCTGGACAGCCTGCTTACCCGAGGCAGGAGGGGGTGGGGCCGGTTGGGCCTTCTTAATCAGAGACACAAACGACGTGATTGAAGACGCAAACCGCGGTCCTACAACTGCTCCTGGTGCTACTCCTCCTCCCACTGCTCCTGCTGCCCCTACTGCTGCTGCTACAGTGCTCCCTGCACCACCCACCACACTCCTTCCGTCACTCGCCCCAACACCGCTGCCAGCCGCATTGCCAGCACCAACAGCTGGTTTCACCCCTCCTGTAATGACCCCCCCACCCAGAATCCGAGAGGCTCCTACGATCCTCCCTCCTTGGCCCACTATCCTGGATCTTGAGGCAGAAGAAAATGCTGCTGCTGACCCTGCTACTGACCCTGGTACTGGTAGTGCTTGCTGTGCAGCAGAACTCTCAGCCTGTGAGGCGCAGTTGACTGCTGATCTCAATTCTGGCTCGAAGGCCGGGGTTTGGAGTCCTGAGGTGGAGCTTGGAAGCCTGCTGACTAGGTTCGACAGCGCGGGGGTTCTGAATGCCTGTGGAATGGAACTTTCTGTGGCTGTAGAGACATGGTCGTCCTTCCTTTCAGCTCCACCATCAACAGCATCCATGGTATGAGGGGTACCAGCATCCGCAGCATCCGCATCTGCATCCACATCCACATCCGCATCCGCATCGGCATCAGCATCAGCACCCTGGTCTACCGCCTCGCTCTCCTGCTCCTTGCTCTGTTCCTCCAATTCCTCCTCTTCCTCTTCTTCCTCATTCGCCTCCTCTTCCTCCACTTCCTCTTCCCCCTCCTCCTTGTCGCTCGTCATGGCAACACATTCTCCTCCTTCCTTCTGCAGCTCATCAGCTGCTGAAAGGAAGCTCTCTCTTTCCCCTGCACACACATCCTCCTCCCCTTCATCATCATCTCTATCGTTCCCATCACACCCATCATCCCCATCCCTTCCATCATGGCTCTCGTCCCGATGTCCCTCGCAAGCCTCATCATCAGCTGCAGCATCCACGTCATCCGCATCAACATCCATGTCATCAGCTGCAGCATCCACATCATCAATGGCAGCAGCATCAGCATCCCAAGGGCCTTTAGCCTCTGCCTCATCACAAGCACCTTTGTCTCCTTCAGCTACCAGGCACTGACCATCCATCCACTCGATCTCCTCCTCCTCCAAATCTTCTTCCTCTCCCTCCTCCAGATCTTCTTCCTCTCCCTCCTCCAGATCTTCTTCCTCTCCCTCCTCCAGATCTTCTTCCTCTCCCTCCTCCAGATCTTCTTCCTCTCCCTCCTCCAGATCTTCTTCCTCTCCCTCCTCCAGATCTTCTTCCTCTCCCTCCTCCTCTCCCTCCTTAGGTGCCTCCTCTTCTAACTCTTCCTCCTCCTCCTGTTCTCTCCCATCCCCCTGCCAAGGTTCCTCAGCACACGCCAGTGCCGCAGCCTCCTTCCACCCCTCGCCCTCCTTGCCTCCCTCCTCTCCCTCTCCCTCATCCCTATCCTCGAATTCTTTCTCATCCTCCCTCGTATCAAGCTCTGGCGCCAGCATAGGACCTTTCTCCTCTCCAGGAGTCTGCTCAACGGCTGCTTGAACCTCGACCTTCTCAGTCTCACGGCTCATATTCCGAATAAAGCCACCGCTTCCCGAAGCAAACCCCCCCTCCTGTTCCTCCCTGTCACTCTCCGTCTCTGCAAGTCCGTCTTCACCCTTCTTTCCACCTGTCTCATCTCCCATCGCTTCTCCCTCCCTTTCTTCCCCCTCCTCCTCCCCCTCCTCCTGCTCCTCACTCCCTCTGCGCCTAGCCAGGGCGTTTCTCAACTCGGCAAAAAACCCTCCTCCTCCTCCACCTGCACCCACCACACCTCCCGCCCCTCTCAGTCGCTTCATCCTGCCATTATTCCGCAGCTGCTGCAGAATCTCATCCCCCTCCGCCCTGCTCTTCCCTTCCTCAACGCCCCTCCCAGAGCATGCGCCTGCAAACGCAGCAGCAGCGCCCTGCGCTCTCAGCCGAGTCAGCACACAGTTCGTCCTGCCTGGAGCTCCCTTAGCCTCACCAGCCTTCTCCTCACCATCCCCGTCCTCACTATAAGCTGTAGCCCCGGAATCTTCTTGAGCCTCAGCAACCTTCATGCTTCTCCCAGGCTCCTCTTTCTCCTGGCTCCTCTCCGCCACAACCTCAACATTTCCCCCCTGCTCAGTCTCGACCCTCCTTCCCACCACCCTCCTGGGCAGCTCCTGGCCTCCCAACTTCAGCCTCTTCCCGCTCCCGTGAAGCGTCTCCTCCCTCTCATCCTTCTCCACCTCTTCCTCCGTCTCCCCTTCCTTCACCGTCGCTCCCACCTCCACCACCTCCTCGTCCGTCTCACACGGCACTTCCACCACAGCAGCATCAGGTGACTTTGGAGGCGCCTCAGAAGTATCCACAGCAGCATCAGCCTTTTCCCCACCAGCCTCCTCCATGAGAGCCCCTGCAGCAGCGAAGCTAAGAGAAGCAGCGCCTTCATCCAAGTCAGTCACAACCTGCCGTCGACCCCTTCTCCTACCAGTCCGAGCAGCACTGGCTGTACTGTACGCGTTATTAGCCTTACCCCTTGTCCGGCTGCGTGTCGCTTTGCCGGCACTAGCAGCGGGAGATTTCCTTGTGCTAGCCGCTAGCCTGCTGCTACTGCGGAGCACCCGGAGCCCATGGATGGTGTGCTCCTCTCTCTCCAGGGGAAACCCGTGGAACGTTTGCTCTACCGTGTCAAAAGCGAAGCCATGGATGGTCTTCTCTTCCCTCCCACAGCTCGGGCTTGAGCATGCCTGTTCCACATCCAAGCTTTTGTCAGCAAAATCCAGCACCTTAGAATCCAACCCCTTTTCCCCAACAGCTGCGTGCTCTTCGTCTGGTGCTTGCTCACTGCCGTCCTGAACCATGCCTTCACTCACTTGTGCTTCCTCCTCCTCCTCCTCCTCCCTCTCCTCCCTCACGCCCTCTACGCTTACATCCACTCTCGCCTCCTCTTCCTTCTCCTCCTGCGGCTCTTGCCTCCCCATTTCCCGTTGCTGCTCTTCCTCAGCCGCTGGATCATCGTCCCAGTGCAGCGCCTCATCTCCTGCCTGTGCGCCAACTGGCTCACCCACCGAGCCTGGGCTGCTCTCTATGGCCTCGACAACCTCCAGCGGTTCTGCTGCCTCTGATCCCTCGAACGCTTCTGGCGCCTCTACTTCCCCCAGTAGTTCTGCTGCCTCTGATCCCTCTGACGCTCCTGGCTCCTCTACCACCTCCAGAGAACCTTCGGACGCTTCTGGCGCCTCTACTGCTTCCAAATCCTCTGCTCCTCCTGAACCCGCTGACCCTGGCGTCCCCGTCACTTCTCCCCCTGTGGTCGAGCCTATCTGAAGAGCACCAGTTTCCACCGCATCCAACTCCTCGTCATATTCAGTCACGGCCCTTGCAGCCACCCCCTCCACCCCCTCTTCCTCCTCAATCTCCATGTCTTCAGCCTCACTCTCTCCGTCATCTCCTCCTCTCGCTTCCCTGTTCTCTAGAAGCTCCTCTTCCACTAGGATGGTGGCCTGTGGTGAAGAACCTTCTCCAGCAGCCTCCTGAGGTTTAGGAGATTCTAACAGGCCAGCGTCAGCTTTAGGCGATTGTAACACAGAAGCGTCAGCTTCGGGCGTTTCCATAAGGGCAGCATCAGCGTTGGAAGGCTCTGTCCTTCCAGAACCCTCCTCCTCGCCTTCGTCTATTCTCGACACTAGCTTCTCCTCCGTTATCCCTTCTAAGTGCGAGGCACCCTCTGCACCAGTACCACCCATTTCTTCTTCCTCAATGCACTGCTCCTCATCCCCTGCTTTGATACCCATGTCTACCTCCGTGCCTACACCCTCCATTGCTTCCTCTTCCTCCTCCTCCTCCTCTACCTTCTTCTCCTCCTCCTCCTCGACCTCCTCCTCCCGCTCTCCCTCAGCCCTCTCCGCCAATCCTGCTACAGATTCCTCTGGCGCGACAATGTCGTCTGCTGCTACAGCCTCCTCAGGTACAAGGGCTACGTCACCCTGCGTCGGAGTCACGAGCTTGTCAGCTGCTCCCATTGCGAATTCCAGCACTCCGACCACACAGCTGCCATTCACGTCCCGCTTCGGTGTAGCTGCCTTGCTAGGCTCCGCGGTAGGCAAAACTTCCAGCTCAGCAGCACACGCTGCCTTCTCCTCCTCACACTCTGCAGCACCTGCTTGGTATTCCCCAGCTTCCGTGTCTTGAGGCGCCACAGGGCACTCAGCCGCGACCACTTCGCCTTCCTCAGCTTCCTCAGCTTCCTCAACTTCTTCACCTTCGCCTACTTGAGGCGCATGAGGGCACTTAACAGTGTCCACTTCGCCTTCCTCAGTCACCTCAGCAGCAGAAGCTGCTACTCGCACGCGATCCCTCTCCTCGACTTCCATCAATGCCTCAGCTTCACCTTCTGACTTGATCTCAACTGCTGCCCCTTCCTCTGTCTCCTCTGCAGCAACGGCGGCTGGAGTGTCGTCCGCTTTCAGTATGCCCGCATCATCATTTCCATCCATTGGCTCACTACTAAGGTCCCCAAGCTCCGCATGTTGACCGGTTGCTGACACCTCCACACCAATGTCCGCTGCTTGCAGCATGGTCGCGTCTTCATCACCACCCACCATTTGCTCACTCAGGTCCGCAAACTCCGCATGCTGGAAGTTCCCAGTGACCTCCTGACCGTCGGCCCCAGTGTCCCCAGTGGCATCACCACTAGTGGAGTCAGAGAGGACAGAGACAAGATCTATTTCATCAGCGCAAGCATCAGCTGTCATTTGTGCAGCACCGTCGGCACCAGCAGCCGTTTGTGCGGAAGCATGTGCATCAGCAGCTGCGCAAACAAGATCGGCTTCTCGAGCATCAGCAGCCGATGGTGCAGCATTGCCTGCATCACCAGCCGTTAAATCAGCAGCACCAACTTCAGCAGCCATTGCTACAGCACCATCTGCGTCAGCAGCCGCAGTAGAAGGCGTCTCTTCTGTCCCTTCCGTCACTTCTCCAGGTACTGCAGCCGCCACTGCAGTCTCTTCGGCCACCATTTCGACCACCTCATTGACCTCCATGCTGTCATCCTCTTCCCTCGCTTCCTCCTGCTCCTTCTCGTTCGTTACATCAGCACCCATTTGGCTGGAAAACTCCCGCTGTGCCACAACAGCACATGCGCCAATGGTCTTACCACCACCAGCAACATCCGCAGCAGCAGCAGCAGCTGAGGCACTAGCCGTACGTTCAGGGGAGGAAGAGTCAGAGGCATCACCGGTGCTAACGGCCACATTTACTAGCTTCCTGGGAGGAGGTTTCACGTGAAGAGACGCTTCTCCAGGCACAGCAGCTGCGTCCGAGCCACTGCAACTGCTGCTGCCAATGTCTGCTGCCGGCGTTGCCTCTGTTGCTTTCCTCCTACCTCTCGTCGTCCTCTTCACTGCGGGAGCTTTCACTGGAGCCGGATCGACGGGCAGGGTCGTTTCAGCAGGGACGGACAGGGGAGCTTCAGCAGGTTCTGCGCAGGTAGAAAGTGAAAGCAAATCAACAGGCGAGCTCCAGATGCAAGAAGGCAGCAATGGAATACGGAGTGCAGAAGAGTAGGGCGACGAAAACTTACCAGGCACGGCAGCTTCCTTCTGAGCCTTCCTTGGTCGACCCCGGCGAGGCAGAGGCGGCAGCTGCGCAGCAGCCGGCGCAAGTTGGCTGGCAACACCACCACCACCACCACCAGCCGCAGCAGCTCTGGCCGAGGCTCGAGTGGTTCGCCTCCCCACAACCGGCGCAACCTCTCTGTCTATCGCCGCTGCCTCACAAACTGGCGCCGTCACTTCCTCCCTAGTCTCATCAACAGCTTCAACAGCTTCAGGAACCGTTGCCTTCTTGCCTTTGCTTCCCCTTGCGCCTCCACGTTTGAAGGCCGTTGAAGTCTGAACGTCAGTCGTGGCCACCTCTGTTTTCTCAGCGGCCACAACCTCCTCCACCTCCTCCTGGACTTCCATCGTACCTTCTCCGCCTGCTGCCTCCTCCGCAATAGCAACTTCGTTGGCAGCTTCAGCTGCTACCGCGTCCTCCTCTTCAGGTGCATCCGAAGGGATGCTTGCCAAAGCAGGCTTCGACACCTTCCGTCCTCTCCCTCTCCCCTTCTGCTGCTTCGTGGGACGATCTGCTTCCTTATCCTCTGATCCCAGTCGATCTCCCGTGTTGTCTGCGTCTGCCATCTTGTCAGTGTCTTCCACAGGAGTAACCCTCTGGGAGCCAACGTTGCCGGCGCAGACTTGATCAGCAGAACCAGCCGTTGCTCCTCTATCCGCGTTTTGAGTCACCTCGTTAGCATCCATCGCCTTGAACGCCAGCTGCACCCGTTCCATCTTCTCCGCGAGCTCATCGGATGGAGCCGTCTGCGTCCGTTGGATCTTCGTCCCCCGGGATCTGGAGGAAGATCGACGGCTGGGAGGCGGTCCTGAAGGAGGGGCATCTGGGGAAGGCTGGGAAACCGGACCAAGGCCTTTTCGGGTAGATCGCGAACGGGTTGATCGTCGGATCTGGCTGTGATCTTCCTGGTTCTCCTTATCCTCCGCTGCTGCAGGTGTGACGAAGAGAGCACTAACCACGTCGCCGCCTTTCCCCTTAACGGATTCATTCCTCGGAAATGGGTTCGGAAACTGTAACGAAACAGCTGGGGTCGCCTCTAACGGTTGCGAGCTGGCTTGCTTGGTGTAGCGGTATAGCTGTTGAAGCTGCTGTGTTGTGAAGGAAATGGCCGTTGAAGTTTTGAAAGAGATGTCTTGGTTTTCAATGTCGTCGCGGCTGGATGAAGGTTTGCTGTTGCGGGTTCGCTTGGGTTGTCTGACATCAGCTGAGGAGTGCTGACGTGTCGCTTGCGTTGTGGAGGATTTGAGATGCTTTTCGGCAAGGCTTATCCACTCCTTCCAGTCGTTTTGTTGGCTCGAGGAATCATGCTTGCCTTTATCCCAAATCCCTCGCTGAAAGACACAGGTCAGTGAAAGATACGGGTCAATGTCAAGCGGAGATCGTCGATTATCAGGTGCCGAAAGAGGAACAAACAAGTACTATCAAGTCTGCTGGCAGAAACGTTTCGATACACGGAAATTGCATAAAATTAGGATTCTTACCAATATGTTCGTCACTGGGTCGTTTATGTCCGCAATCGCAACATTGCTAGCCTCCGTCTTGGAGGCTCTACCCCTCCTTTTGCTCATCTTCTCGAGGCGTTGAATAGCCGAATCGATAAATAACCACGTATATAAATCCGCCTCCGCACTCTTGCACCTCTTCTGTCGAATATGCGAACTTTTTATAGATAACGGCTTGGAGATCCCATAATGAGATTTCTGTTCGAAATATTCGCAGCTCTCTGTAGGTGAATGATGGTTCCTGGCGATGAAAAGGAACCTATAATGGTCGTGCTCCGGTGAGCTTCTGGTCAAGTCATGACAACCCGTTGGAAAGAAGACACCGACCCATTTCCGAACTAAGCATTTCCGAAACCAGAAACCTGGTCAGTGTGTCATGTGAGTGCATGGAAGACCTCTGGAGAAACAGGGAAAGCTAGGAATCAGAGACCTCGGGATTGTCGCAAGGACTCGACAGTTGAAGCATGTGAGAAAAGTGGAACCATGGTTTTTTTAGGATCAGGAGAACCTCACGGTGTGACAAGCATGGGCAGGCATGTGAGGTTCTCCTGATGGCATGTGAGAAGACGGAAAGAACATCGAATCAGGGCATGTGACAACCCTAACGAACCGTTTTAAAGCAATGTTGAATCCTTTGGAAAAGCAATTCACCTTATTCAACCGCATTCGGACGAATGCTGAGGACACACCCTCATTCAGTGGTGGGAAATTGCCTCGGGATTGTCGCCGTGCTTCAGTTTCAGTGGGCTCTGGCATGCAGGTCTGGCACTGGTGCTGTTCAGGCTTGCAGGGTTTCAAATTTCGGCGGGAAATCAGTCGCGGTTTGAGTCAGAACTGCAGAAGCAGCAGGGAGGGGGGTCAACTATCTCGATATAAGCCTAATGTTCCGAGGTGACGAGGAATTAGTGATGAAAAATGACTTTATTTCGGAGCAAATGATGGCTTGGGGGAAAGATGGAACTGAGAATCTATCGGTGATGCAATAACGCGGATTTGATTGTTGCATTCGCTGTCCCTTCAAAATTGAACCTGCAGAAATCATGGCTGGATTTTCTGGCGTTTATGCCAAACGCTTACAATCTGTAGGCAATCCGTGTACACACTTAGCTGAAAACTTTTAGCATAGTTATGGATGGAACGCCTGGCATTTCTGAAGAATCACACCTCAGGTATCTCCACACTTCCCGCGTCATTTCTTCCAACCACAGCTTCGCGACCTTTCTAAAAAAAGAGCCACGATTGGAGGACAACGTGCACCCACCTTCCAAGCCACGTAGGCATGCACCACTCACGGCTCACCTCTGGTTGTCCTCCTGAGCATAGAACCCCGCTGTACCGACCTGTTTCGTGATGCGCCAACAAGGTGCACTTCTGGACCAGGCTCTAGGGCGTACAAGACCCATCACCACTGTCCTCCACTCCACTTTCATCTCTTTCTCCTTCAGATGAGGACCTAGTAGCCCCATTCATATCTCCCCCACCTCTCCCTCAGCTTGACCATTGTCAATAAGCGCCTTTTCTAAAGCGGCTTCTTTTGTCTTAGTATCCGATCATGGCGTCCTCCCTGCTGCTCCATCCCAGAGCCGTGCGCCTGGCGGCGAGCCCTCTATACCCGCACAATGCGGCGAACCCTCGCAATGCCGTCCATTCTAGTCTCACGCAGAGGCCAGTCGTTCGACCAGCGGCTTGCGCACGCAGCCGTTCGATCGTGCCGATCAGCGCATCTAAGCCGTCCACTCAGCTCTCCGCGCTCTGCCCCGCAGCCGGCCTCCCTGATCTACGGCTGCGATCTCGAAGCAGCGCGAAGCGCTCTTCGGCGGAAAACCAAAGATCAGCGCAGCGCCTGGTCGTTTCCGCGTCCGCCGCCGCCGCCGCCGCTCCCGCTCCAGCGGAGAGCGAGAAGCCTAAGTTCACGTGGGCTGGCGCCGTGCCTATCCCGTTCGTTATCTCCGTCGGCGTCGGCTTGGCCGTCCGATTCTTAGTCCCGGGTATGTCAGACGGTGCGGATCAACTTGTAGCTTTAGAAAAAAACCAATCAGGTTAGCGTTATGCCGATAATTCTCGTAGAAGCGGGCTTGGCGGGTCGGCGTAGTCTCGCGTATGCGGGACCTTTTGGCTGCAAAACACGAACCACGGTCTATCCGCTTTCGTTATGATCAGCCGCACGGGGTTAGCTTATCAGTGAGAGTTTATTTTTGAGGCGCCTCATAAATAGTCTGGATCAGCTGCACGGGGTTAGCTTGTCAGTGAAAGTTGGATCAGGGAAAGACGATAAATGCACCTCTTTCTCCAGTTGTATTTTGAGTCGACTCAAATTATATTCTCCGTCGCTTTTTCCGCCCTCGAGTGTAGGACCACGGACTGTGGAGAACGGAAAAAGAATCGTGTTATGATAGAAGCGAAGCAAAATTACACGGACGAGCACCGCCTCCGCAGCACTGCCTCCGCAGCACCACTGCCATGTAGTTAGTTGTGCTACATTATCGCAAGCTGCGTTCCCCTACAATATCCAGGTGTATTTTGAGTCGACTCAAAATATTTTGAGGTGTATTTTGAGTCGACTCAAAATACACCTCCGCAGCACTGCCTCCGCAGCACCACTGCCATGTAGTTAGTTGTGCTACATTATCGCAAGCTGCGTTCCCCTACAATATCCAGGTGTATTTTGAGTCGACTCAAAATATTTTGAGGTGTATTTTGAGTCGACTCAAAATACACCTCCGCAGCACTGCCTCCGCAGCACCACTGCCATGTAGTTAGTATTGCTACATTATCGCAAGCTGCGTTCCCCTACAATATCCTCCCCTCACTTCCCCCAGTCCCCGCCGGAGTGACAGCCCAGGCATGGCAACTGCTAGCTATCTTCCTCTCTACCATCACTGGTCTGGTGCTCGGGTAAGCCATGGTGGCAGTTGAAGTCTTGGAGCGGTGCGGTGATAACCATGTTGCACTTAGCTAAGGTTGCTTTAAAATGGTGCTTGAGCAACAAGCGGTGAACATGGTGGGTGTCATTCAGACCAATTGGTTGAGTAGCAGCCGTACCTCGTTTCTCCCTCCACTTTCCCCATCCCAGCCCTCTTCCCGAGGGCGCCTGGGCTTTGCTGTGCGGCACATTCGCTGTGCTCCTCATGCGCCCTATCTACCTCCCTCCTCCCCTGTCTTACCCTTTTGCTTCCCCACAATGCCCCCCCCTCCCCCCCCATCCCCCCCCTCACCCCAGCCCTCTCCCCGTGGGCGCGTGGGCCTTTGTGTGCCTCACCTTCACTGTGCTCTCCAAGACGCTCTCCTTCGCTGCTGCCTTCAGGTCGGTCCACCCGCGCGCGCTGCTGCTGGTTTCACTATATTCCATTTTTCCCTCTGCTGGTTTCACTATATTCCATTTGCAATGAGTCGATTTTTGAGTCGACTCAAAAATCGACTCATTACACATGCTGCCTTCAGGTCGGTCGGTCCACCCGTGTGCGCTGCTGCTGGTTTCACTATTTTCCATTTTTTTCTCTCTGCTGTTTTCAATCTAGTCCATTCTTCTGGCGCGTAGACGTCATCTCCCTTTTTTTCTGTGTGTGTGCAAATGTAAGATGTATGTACATATCCGCCTCCCCCCCGCCCCCTCCCCCACCCAAATCAGCGCCATGACGAACGAGGTCATCTGGCTCATCGTCATCTCCTTCTTCTTCGCCCGTGGCTTCGTCAAGACCGGCTTGGGCGACCGAGTGGCCACCTACTTTGTTAAGTGGTTCGGCAAGAGCACGCTGGGGCTCAGCTATGGACTGGCAGGTGGGCTCTTAGTTAAAGATTGACTGGCTCTTAGCAAACTAACCAGTGTGTGTGTGTGTGTGTGTGTGTGTGTGTGTGTGTGTGTGTGCTGCCTACCTACCAGCAGCCATTCTTCATTCCCTCATTTCCCCCACCATGTCCAGCACCACAACAAGGGCGTGCAGCGTGTTTCTGGTCGTCTCTCCACTCGCCTGTAGTCATTTCGCACTCACTCTAACCTTGCAATCTCCACCACCCCATCTCCCCCCCCCCCCCAATTCTCCCCAGTCTCCGAGGCCCTCATCTCGCCCACCATGCCCAGCACCACAGCAAGGGCCGGCGGTGTCTTTCCGCCCATCATCAGCAGCTGGGCTTTGAGGCGCCTCACTTAATCATCCTAACGACCCACTCCACTCCCCACACCCCCCTTCCCTCACTTGTCCCCCCCCTACCCCCAATTCTCCCCAGTCTCCGAGGCCCTCATCTCGCCCACCATGCCCAGCACCACAGCACGAGCAGGAGGTGTCTTTCTGCCCATCATCAGCAGCTTGGCGCGCAGCTTCAACAGCCTACCCAATGACCCGAGCTCCAAGAAGCTCGGAAGGTTCCTCATCATGTCGCAGTTCCAGGTAGGACTGTTGTTGAGCCCTCCCCCAGTTAGCACCGCCCTCAGTTAGCACCTCCCCGTCCCCAGTTGGCACCTCCTCCCGGTTGACCTGATGCTGAGCGTTAACAGCCTGCCCAACGGCCCCAGCTCGAAGAAACTCGGAAGGTTTCTCATGTTGTCGCAGGTCCAGGTGACCAGGGCTTCAAGCTATCTTACTCCTTGGCCCCTCATCCGCCTTCCTCCCTACGTTCTCCCCTCTCTCCCCTCTCTCCCCTCTCTCCCCTCTCTCCCCTCTCTCCCCTCTCACTCACTCTTTTCCTCCTATTCCAGGGCTCTGCCAACGCCCCTAGTGCCATGTGCCTACCTCATGGGGGAAGCGCTGGCCCAGAACCTGCTGTGCATGAAGCAGGATGTTTTTGAGAATTCTCAAAAACACCCGCAAAATCAGAACCTGCTGTGCATGAAGCTGTCTCTTCCCTTTGTCCCCCTCCCTCTGCCGAACGACCCCCCCCACCCACCCCACCCCCTTCCGTTCCTGGTCCCTTTCAGGCCTCTGATAATGCCAGTGCCATGTACCTAACGGGAGGCGCCCTGAACCTGCTGTGCATTTGAGTGTCCTTGTCGCTTCCTGCTGGCATGTTTCTTTGCCCTCTTTTCTCCTGCCCCAGGCTAGCGCCAACGCCAGTGCCATGTACCTCACGGGAGGCGCCCAGAACCTGCTGTGCATAAAGCTGATCTTTTCCATTCTCCTCCTCCCTACCCTTGTGTCTTCAGGCCTCTGCCAACGCCAGTGCCATGTACCTCACGGGAGGCGCCCAGAACCTGCTGTGCATAAAGCTGGCACAGGAGCTGGGAGTGGTGATCCCCAACGTGTGGGCCACGTGGTTCAAGCTCGCCGCCATCCCAGGTGGGTTCTACCCCAGATAGCACCTCCTTCCCGATGCCCCCAGCCCAGGTAACACCTGCTTTTAGCACCAGAACCTGCTGTGCTTGAATCTCGCTCAGGAACAGGGAGTGGTGATCCGTAACGTGTGGCCCACGCGGTTTAAGCTCGCAGCCATCCCAGGTAAACCCTTCCTCAGATACGACCTCCTTCCAGGTGCCCCCAGCCCAGATAAGACCTGCCTTAAGCATCAGAGAACGCATGGGCCACATGGTTCATCTCCCGTTCTTCTCCCGTTCATCTCCCGTTCATCTCCCGCTCGTCTCCCTTTCGACTCCCTTTCGTCTCCCTTCCCGTTGTCATCTGTTCTCGTCCTCCCAGGTGTTAACTTCGCTGTTAAGAGAAGTCTCAGGTGTCTCCCAGGTGTCTCCCAGGTGTCTCCCAGGTGTCTCATCAGCCCCCGGCTCACCCTGGTGGTGCCATCTCCCTTCCCCTTTCATCCCCCTCCCCATCCTTCCAGGTCTCATCGGTCTCCTAGTGACGCCTCTCCTCCTCTTCAACCTCTATCCACCTGAGCTCAACACACCCCCGAGGCGCCCGGACTTGCGCCCTGTTCTATTCCCTCGCTCCTCTCGTTTCCCCCGAGCAACTTCGTCTGGTCTCACATTCAGGTCTCATGGGTCTCCTAGTGACCCCCGTGCTCCTCTCCAGCCTGAACCCACCTGAAGGAAGTCCCTGGATAAGAAGATGCCATTCCTTCCACGGAATGTACCCACGTGAACTTAAAGCCACCCACCCCCAAGGCACCCGGACTGGCATCTTCTTATCCAGCGTCTTCCTTCCCTCCGTTCCCCCATTTACCCCAACCTTTTTGTTCTCTCTCCAAGACTCACGTGATAGGAGTCTAGTTTTGAGGCGCCTCAAAACGCGTGATAGGAGTCTATCACGCGGAACCTTTTTGTTCTCTCTCCAAGACTCATCTCATCGGACTCCTAGTCAGTGACGCCTCTAATACAAAGGACAAGTTCACGAGATGGGGCCGGTCACCCCCAACGAGCTCACCATGGTTGCCACTTTATGCTGATCAGAGAGGTTGAGGGAGATGGGTCCTGACAGGCTGACACCACTAACGAGCGCCTTTTCCCTCCTGTGTTTTGCCCTCGGCCCTTCTGGCCCCCCTTCTCATCCCTCCAGGTCTCATCGGTCTCCTAGTGATCTCTCTCCTCCTCGTCAACCTCTACCCCCCGGAGCTCAAGGGCACCCCTGAGGCGCCCGGGCTGGCGGAGCTGAAGCTGAAGGAGATGGGGCCGGTCACCCCCAACGAGCGCGAAGACACCCCTGAAACGCCTGGACTCGCACCCTCCTTCTCATTCCCTCCCTCCTGTTTCCTCCCCCCCTGCAACTTCCCCTGTTTCCCTTGCAGGCTTGATCGGGCTGCTAGTGACGCCCCTCCTCCTCTTCAACCTCTACCCCCCCGAGCTCAAGGACACCCCTGAGGCGCCCGGCCTGGCGGAGGTGAAGCTGAAGGAGATGGGCCCTGTGACCCCCAATGAGCTCATCATGGTTTTCACCATGCTGCTCGCAGTGTCGCTATGGGTGCTCGGGTAAGTTCTGAGGGGAGGTGGTATCTGTGGGCTGTGCTGGGTGTTATCTGAGGCGCCCGAGCTGGCGGAGGTGAAGCTGAAGGAGATGGGCCCTGTGACCCCCAATGAGCTCATCATGGTTTTCACCATGCTGCTCGCAGTGTCGCTATGGGTGCTCGGGTAAGTTCTGAGGGGAGGTGGTATCTGTGGGCTGTGCTGGGTGTTATCTGAGGCGCCTGGCCTAGCGGAGGTGAAGCTGAACGAGATGGGGCCGGTGAACCCCAACGAGCTCATCATGGTTTTCACCGTGCTGCTGGCTGTGTCGCTCTGGGTGCTCGGGTACGTTCTGGGGGGAGGTGTTATCTGTGGGCTAGGGGAGGCGCTATCTGTGTGCTGGTGGAGGTGAAGCTGAAGGAGATGAGCCCGGTGACTGACCCCCAACGAGCTCATTACGGTTGGCACTATGCTTCTCCTGGTGTCTCTATGGGTGCTTGGTAGGTTCAGAGTGCTCTCGTGGAATGACTGCCTTGCGGAGAAGTCCGCCTGGGACACCCTCGCATCGCATGGTTCGCCGTGCTCATAGGCACGCACGCTCACACCGCCCAATCTCCTCCCCCTCTTCCCACACCTCCCGTTCCCAATCCCTGTTCTCCTTTTTTGTCCTGTCACAGTGACTCCATCGGCATTCCCAGCGTCGTGGCAGCGATGATAGCCCTCTGTGTCCTCCTCCTCTCCGGCGTGCTCTCGTGGAACGACTGCCTCTCGGAGAAGTCCGCCTGGGACACCCTCGCCTGGTTCGCCGTGCTCATAGGCATGTCGGCGCAGCTGAATGCGATGGGCATCGTGCAGTGGATGGCGGACAACGTCGCCTCTGGACTCACGGGTGCAGGGGGTTCTTGGGTTGGGAATTTCTTCAAGCTCCAGGTGTGTGTGCCTGCAGCTGAACGGGTGTGAGTGGATGGGAGCCTGGGGCACCCTCACATGGTGCTCATAGGCATGTCGGCGCAGCTCAATGCGATAGGCATCGTGCAGTGGATGGCGGACAACGCTGCTTTGCGGTTGACTGGGGCGGGAGGGGCGTGGGTGGGCAACTTATGCAAGCTCCAGGCGCTTTTGAGGCACCTCAAAAGCAGCTCCAGGCGAGTGCCTGTGTGTGTGTGTGTGTGGCTGTGTGCCTGGGGCACCCTCACATGGTGCTCATAGGCTTGTCGTCGCTGCTGGGTTGACAGGGGTGGGAGGAGCATGTGCGTGTCGCTATGAGTCCAGAGGCACCGTTGTCCGCCATCCACTGCACGATGCCCATCACAACGTCACTTCGGGGTTGACCGGGGTTGACTGGGGCAGGAGGAGCGTGTGCGGGCAACTTTTCCAAGCTCCAGATGCGTGTCTCTGTGTGTGTGGCTGTGTGCCTGGGGCGTCCTCACTGCACATGGTGCTCAATGGCATGTTCATCCTGACCCCTAGCTCTGGGTGATTTTTGAGTCGACTTAAAAATCACCCCTAGCTCTTGAGTCGGATCAAAAGCGTTGCAGTGCAGCTTGCCGCAGACCTTACCCCTCATCCTCACCGCACCTTCTGCCCCCTAACCTCCTCTCCTCACCCCCAAGGACGAAGAGGGGTTGGGAAGGACTTTAAAGTGATCCCATAAGCTGCTGGAATGTCGGCCTCACCCTTCTCACCCCACCTACGTCAGATATCTCCCCCCCCCCCCCCCCCCCCCCCCCCCCCCCCCCCCCCCCCCCCCCCAGGCCATGTACTTCGGCTCGCATTATCTCTTCGCCAGCCAGACTGGCCACGTGGGCGCTCTCTACTCCCCATTCCTCCGACCCCCTCCACTGTCCTTCCACCTCTCCCCAGCCAGTACTTCCCGCATTCCCTGCCATCCCTGCCATCCCTGCCATCCCTGCCAGCCCTGCCATTCCCTCTTCTCCCCCCAGGCCATGTACTTCAGCTCGCACTATCTCTTTGCCAGCCTGACCGGCCACAGGGGCGCGCTCTACTCTGCCCTCATGGCAGTGATGCTAGAATGTCCGCCTCATCCTTCTCATTCCACCATCCCTACCTCACATATCTCCCCCCCCCCCCCCCCAGGCCATGTACTTCGGCTCGCATTATCTCTTTGCCAGCCAGACGGGCCACGTGGGCGCTCTCTACTCTGCCTTCCTGGCGATGCAGCTGGCAGCGGGCGTGCCAGGTGTCCTTGCGGCATTGGCTCTTGCGCTCAACACCAACCTGTTCGGCTCCATCACCCACTACAGCAGTGGGCAGGCGGCGTTGTACTATGGAGGTGAGCTTATAAGGGGTATGAGATGCTAGTGTAGAGATGCCCGTATAAGGGCTCCAGTATGCACTACCTGCCTGGCGTGCTGAAGTTTCATTGGTAATTGAGAATTCTTGAAAACCAATTCAACTTCCTGCCTGACGAGCTGAAGTTAAGGCCCCATCACAGCAACTGCAACCGCATCACATATTCATATAAGTTCCTCTATTTATAAGTTCCTTTATTTATAAGTTCCTATATTTATAAGTTCCTCTTTATAAGTTCCTGTATTTACAAGTTCCTCTATTTCTCATGCCCTCTAACTCAAGCATGCCCTCGTGTCTTCTCCCTCCCTCTCTCTGCAGCTGGCTACTTCGACCTGCCTGACATGTTCAAGTCTGGCTCGCCATCGCAGCAGCGGTCAACTTTTCCCTTTCATATAAGAATGACATCTCTCCCTTATCCCTCCCTCCCTCCCCCCCCTTCACCAGCTGGCTACATCTATCACAGCAGCTGTTGCGTGTCCTCCTAGTTTCACGACAAGTGTCTTATTTCTCAAGTCTTCTCCCTCCCTCCCTCCCTTCCTCTCTACAGCTGGCTACATCGACCTGCCTGACGTGTTCAAGTTTGGCGCCATCACAGCAGCGGTCAACATTGTCATTTGGATCGCTGTTTGTGCCTTCTGGTGGAAGGTCAACGGCCTATTCTGATTGGTCGGATCAACAGCTCTGTCAGGTAGATGCTCTATAGTGTCAGGTCACAGGTGGCTTCTCATTGGCTGGATAATTCTGGTCTGGCGACTCTTGTAGGGGTGTGTGGTGTGTACCTTGCCAGCCATTTTTTAATCAGTCCAATAGTAGTGCTCATTAACTAACCCAGGTGTTTTGTTATGAGCATCTGACTGAACCATCAGAGTAGGGTGCAGTGAATGGGACAACAGCACAACGTTTTCAGGACATATCAATGCAATGTGGGTCATGTGCCCACCGGATAACACAATCAATCAACTCAAATTTTAGTACTAATATACTCTGTACGAACACCAATACTCAGGAGCCAAAAAGCCACCAGGAATCCTCTGTATAAGCTGGTACGATAATTTATCCTAGGTTAGCAAAACACGCAACAACGGGGAAAGTCGCTGCACTGCGTGAAAAAGCATGCCTCCAGCCATATGTCAAGGTGGTTTCTTCCGAGAAGGAACTCAGCCCCACTGGCCTCGAACACAGTCCGGATCCAGGCCGCTCACGGTCACGGCACACGCCAACTCACGAGCGAATCACGCCTGCTACGCCGTTCCCTGCGGGAGTCGGCGGTCGCGGTACAACCCCCTCCGAAACCCTGAGCTGTCGACTAAGCGGAGACGCTGGTACCGGGGATTTTAGAGCCGCTCGACTCTGCTGCTGAGAGGCTAGCAGTTGGCCGGGTCTTGCTGCTGATTGGGTGGGATATTCCGCCGCCGCAGGCGTGTTGGGCGCAGAAACAGTGGGTGATTCCGCAAGTGGGGGCGGGGGAAGCGCGAACGCGGGGGAGGGGGGCCGCCCGTCGAATAGCACCGTCGGGGATGGGCGGTAATTTTCCGCAACGTATGGGCGCTCCGCCTCGAAGCCGCTGCGTGCTCTCGGCTGCGACAGGCGCGGCAATACCGAGGGATCGAATGCGCGCGCAGATTGGCGCAAGCTCCGCTGCTCCCCACGAGCACCGTCATTACCGGTGCGGCCGCCGCCGCCGCCGCCGCCGCTCCCGGATTCATTTGAATGTAACGGCGCAGAGTACGACCGAGTCACTTGCGGCGCACAAACGCCCCCGCTCATGGTGTCCGCGGACAGCGAAGATCCCGCGGCGGAAGCCGCCTTCGCAGGTGCGCACTCGAGCGGGGGCAAGGGGAGCGCGGCGGCAGTTGCGCCACGGGGGAAGTCCGCGCGGCGGGAGAGCTCTGCGCCTGAACGCGCACTGGCGCTGCGCGTCAGCGCAGCAGGGGAAGCGTAGATGGGATCAGCGTGGTCGATCGGGCAGGAATGGCTGCGCGGTGTCGGGTTCGGCGGAGGAAGCGGGGAGAGCGGGACATGCGGGGAAAGCGGAAAGTGGGGGGAAAGCGGGATCTGTGGCGAGGGCGGAGCATGCGGGGAGAGCAAGAAAGCAGATCCGGTGCATTCCGCGGAATCTTGCGATGGGGCGCGGGGAACACGCCAAGGGGTCCTCCGCTGGAAGTCGGAGGCAGCCATGACAGTCCGGGTAATAGTTGTGCTCCGAGTTTAGGGTTTCAGTGGCAGTTGGTACGGAAATCAGTGGTAGAAGCAGTCAGGAAAGCCACTATGCGACGGTGCACTAGCGCGGTTCAGTAAACAGTTTAGCAACTGACGCAGCTCAAATGACGTAAAGACTCACAACTTGCGGAATCGTTGATTAAAACGGTGGACAGGGTTGGACGGGGCTACTTCAGTGAAGATGTGTGGAGTGGAGAGAAGGAAGCAAGCTAAGGATGGAGTGAGAGACGTGGGTGGTGGTGTGGTGTGTGGTGGTGATGGGGTGAGTTGAGGAGGAGCAAGCAAGCAGTCGAAGTGACCATGATTGGAGTGAGGAGGAGTTGCTTATTGGCCAAGCGTGACAGGCCGGGAGATATCAGACATGGCTGGAGTACAGATGGCTGTACAGATGACATGGAGGGAGACAGCAGACGATGTCGATGTCTCAAGGGTGGCGTGGCGCGCCCACCACAGGGATGAAGGACGGGCAGGAAAGAAATTTCTCGGTCATCCAAACATATTTGCTGCTTTCGTGGTGAGGTGATCCTTGAAGGAATATGTTTCCACACTACCTCCAACCCAGCAACCTCATCTCACCGCACTTAGCAAAACGAGGATGCTGTACAAAACCACGATTCGGAATCATACGATATCATGGACATCTGTACGCGACGGGTACAGTACCTCAACAAACGATTTGAGATCAGTGGACTGGTCGAACAAAAGCATGTCAAAGGCTTGGAGTGGAGAGGAGAGGAGAGGAGAGGACATGACGAGAAGTACTGTACATGTCATGGACCTCGGTTTTGTTTGGAGCAAGCTGTCTGCATGATGAGAATTGTGGTCGAGTGCTGGGGATTCAATTTCGAGATCTGGTTCGATTCTTCAAGAGCCACGCACGACCGTTTTCATGACGATACACCTGTCCTACGTTTGAAGCCCACAAACATTTTCAGTTTCTGAGTTCACCAAAACCCCAACGCAGCGTACCCCGACTCAAACTCGGAAACTGAACCGTAGGGGCAAAGTCGACATTAGCGTGTAATGAAGCGTGTGTTGGAAATGATGATGGGCGGGATTTGCATAACCTATATGGAAACGACTTGGTTACGATTTTCGCCAGTGAGACCTCGTCGAAATGCCAACGAACTTCACGAGCATGGCTCAATCTTTCGTACGTTGCGTTGGTGTTTTGGGGGTTATGCGCACCTCCTAGGAATGAAACGGTCCTTATAAAATTACTAATTACAATATTGGCAAACGTGACATGCTACATGAAACCCCATCATCCACACCACTCTCAAGAACCTCCCACGCCGAACACAAAATGAATCAACACTCGACTGGCACGAGATGCTCCAGCCTAGCAGTAACTTCACCTTCCCAAAACAAACACAGCGTGGCGGCTGGGAAACAAAGGTCTTGCGCACCACCAATCATACTTGAGACACAACCCACACGCGTAGAACACACCACAGAGAGTTGCTTTAGCACAGCAAAACCTCATGTCACACACAACGGAGTGCATCAAACACGGGAAACAGAAACCAAAATGCAAGAGCGAGGCATATACGTGGCAAGAGCAAGGGAAAATATGCGTAGGGTTAATTAACGCACAGAAAGGGATGAAGCGACGACATGCGCACATTGCGCACAGAGATGGGCGAGAGAGCACAACACAGTTTACAACACATAGAACAACACAAAGTACAACGAGGGAGGGAACGGGACAGATTCAGGCGGGGAAATGGTGACATAGTACAGCACAGAGTCGAACGCAAAGTACAACGGGGGGCGGATTCTAGTGGGGAAATGGTCGAGAGAGAAGAACACAGAGTGCAACACACAGTACAACTGAGGAGGGAGGGGGGCTGATTCATGTATGACGCTGGGATGGACAGGGGAAGGGCTCGGAGTCAGAGGATATGCGCTCAGGTCAGACGAAGATGGTCCTGGCGCAAAGATAGGTTTACAGACTGATTGCTTCGCAGAACACGTCGAAACAACTGGCCGTAGGGTAGACCTCGTCGGTGCTACGGAGGCACGAGACTGGCATCAAGCCAGTAGCTGACCTGGATGGTCACGCGGCTGCCAACTTAGTAGCTGAGCCAGTCGGAGTTGTCAGCGTGGCCATCCGGATCAACTGTCGTGCGCAGCAGAATGCGCCACCCCGCAGCGGTCTCGAGGTCGTCTCGGCCGTTCACCGTGGGTGGAAGGGTTGGGGGGGGGGGGGGGGTGGTTAAGGTTCAGGGCATTGGCCGACGCCTGCACCAACCTTTCGACAACCACGGGGTTGCGGATGTCGAACAGGTGGCGCAGATCGTTCGGGCTGATGTCCGACGCATGCGCAAACCCGACAAGCATCTCGGATGCTCGACGGGCCACACGGCGCAATGCCCGCCCCTCATCAAAGTCAAACAGCGCCTCCCGGGGGCTGGCAGCGGTGGTGCGGTGAGCGGGTCTGCGCCCTCCAAGTCGCAGGTGGGGTGGTTCTCGTCGATGCGAAGGAAGTCCGCTGCTGGCATCGCAAACTCCCGAAATGCAGGCGCGGGATGATCACCACCAGCGCCTCCAACTCCGATTCGGTATCGGCGCGGTTACGCACCGACGATTCATCGAGTGGGGGGGCGGGCATCCAACTCGCGGGGAGGATGCAAGTCTGCCACCAGCACCGCTCCACAGTGTTCTTGTCGATGTTGTACCACGCGTCGTGGATCCGGCGGATGACCTGCGACATCTTGGGCTTGAAACGCTGAACCTCCGTTGGGCAGCTGTTCGCCTCCCACAGCTGGGTGAGCATCGCGAGATACACGACGCGATAACGGGCCTTAGTCGTGGCAATTATGCCATAGTCCAGCGATTGGATGAAGTAGGTAATGTTGGGAGGTAGGAAGACAATGCGCAGGTTACTAAGCTTCCAAGTTCTAAAACCGAGAATGTCCCCGATGAGCGTGTCGGCGGTGTCGAGTCGATGGCTCGACGCGTTATCGATGAGGAGGATGATCGATCTTCCCTCGGCGAGCATGGTAGCGTTGAGGGATTCCATGTACGCCATAAAAATCGACAGAACAGTAAAAAAAAAAAAAAAAAAAAAAAAAAAAAAAAAGGGCCATGTTGTTACTTGGAGTATAGTGGAAATCTAAAATAAACGGCATCCGGAAGAAAAATGATTATTTCAGGAAACGACGAGTGCAAATTAACAGCAGATACAAATGTAGATGAGGTTGCGTAAGGAATGGAAGGTCGGGATGGGCGACTTGAAGGTGTGTTTACCTCGCTGGTCATCCAACCCTTCTGGTTGTAACGCCAGTGCACCCACGGCCCAGGGTCGAAATTGGCTTCATTGAAGTCGCGAGGGCGGCGAACCTTGGAGATTATCATTGGCTTCAGCATCGACGATCCGTCGATGTTACACATGAAGACGACAGTAACCCGGTCCTTTGTAGCCTTGTGCCCGACCGCCGTGTCGTCGGCTCACGTTTTCCTCGGCTGGAACGCGATGAACAGTGCTGTCTCGTTGAGGTTAAATAGGTCCTTCAGTTGCACGTCAAGCAGGAGCAGCAGCTCGGAGAGCTTCACGCGAGCCCAGTTGATGGCAGCCATGTCAGCATCTGCTGCTTCACCCTTGCGTTTCAGATTTTTTAAAGCCGCCATCCAAGATTGAAAAAAACCTTGAAACCGTAGAGGTAGTTGGGTGTTGGCGAGTTTAGCGAGGTGGTATGGAAAGAACGACGCACGTGATTGGGTGGGAATTTGGTGGGTCCGAGGTGGATGTTGCGGGTTAGAGGGGGAGAGGCAGGGGGAGTTTTGTGGGCGGGGTGTGGAAAACATTTTGAAAACCTTCGCTGGCGGAAATGACTAGGCCCTAAGGCGGAATCGAAAACGCAGTGGCGGGAGTGGGGGAAGGGAGAAAATGAGGGCGGGATGGGGCCTGGGGGGGGGGGGGGGAGGGAACGAAATGGGCTCGGGGGAAGGAAACAAGGCGAGCGGAATAAAACGCACGGGGAGCAGAGTGACAATTTTCGAGGTTTGCAGTGCACCATTCTGGTTCAAGTTTCTGCACGGCTTTTGGCGAGCTCTTGCCTACCCAGCACTGCCTTATTGGGAAACCTACCCTTTCAACTTATAAACAATTGAACCACGCTGCCTATATTTGCACCGCGGCTTTAAGCCCATGCGATCTACCGCTTTGTGGACCCACGACAACGAACATTTGAAATTGCCCAAAAGGCCAATAATTTACGCGAGCTATTTAGCCTTGATTTGAAAAACTGCCAACGTTAGCGGAATACCTGCAGGGCGGGTTTTTATCCACGTCTTGAGCTCAGCCTCGAGTGAAGGATACTGCACGGGGCGAACACGAATGTACCTCTGTTGGGTTGGCGCTGCCGCCCATTTTGTTACGTGTTTGAAAATCTTTCCAACAGTGCTCTGGTTGGGCAGCAGACCGTAACGAGTGAAGCACCACGGCACGAGGTTGTCAAGGCAAAGATGTAGGTTCGCATTTGCATCCTTGCAAATGGCGCGCTTGGAGACGATCGGAATTAGTGCCCTGCGATGGATGCGAGGCATTGCGACGGGTTGAGAACGCGATTGGAAATGGTTACGTGAGCGGAGACTGATTGAAAAGGTTCTGAAACCCCACGTCTAAATAGGGATTTTGTCTAGAAGGAATGTAGCTGCCCAGGGTGAGATGGCGTGACAAGAACGGAGGCCAACCAACTGTACATGTGGCATGATTACCCGCCACCTCAACGATTTAGGGGGTTGAATTCTGCCCTCGTGGACGTCAAAATCTCCACTCCAGCAGGGGGGGTGAATGTCGCCAGTTTCTGTTACACGTACGTGTCGTTATAACTTCTCAATGGACGCGATTACTCGACGACAATCCGAGGAAGTTCGCTAAACCACCGAATCGAGCCACCAGCAATTGCAACGCTCCATCTGATTGGTTCATGCCTGGATTGCACCGCCCACCAGCGTTATCGAGTTGGATGGATAGGGCCACTGTATACCTTACAGTGGACTGTATGTAGAGGGATATAACCTGAAGACATTTGTTATTCGGTCTAAAGAGAAATGTTAGACAGTAGCTCTGAGACCCATAACTTCGATTGAGTGTACAATATTGCCAGCTGGACGGATCTGTGGTTCTCGCCGAAACACGTTTTCAAGACTTTTCCAGCATTACAATTTTCAGGAATGATTTCAAAAAAATTCAAGCAATGGCTCAAACTCATAATAG